GCACAAAAAATTTAAGTAATTTGTCCAGGGTCACACACACACCTGGTAGGTGGCTGAGTTGGGAATTAAACACAATCTCATTGTAAAGTCTGTGCTGCTAACCATACTTTATGCTGTGTTTCCATATGCAGCATTTGTCACTTTTTATGGTATTATATTACTTCCTTACTTTGTTCACTGTGGGTCTCTACCTGTCACTTCTGTCCCCATCTAAATGTCAGCTCCAGGAAGACAGAGTTTTTTCTTTTATCTGTTTTGTTTACTGCTGTATCCCTGGTACCTGGAACAACGTCTAGTCTCTAGGTTCAATGAGTATTTATTGAAGAAAAGGACATTATGTACTGCTTTAGAGTGGTAAGATGTTTGAAAGTCTCAGTTAGATAGATAATTTCGTGGGAGAAAAAAATCTAATGGCCATAAGAAGGAGATCTGAAGAGCCCAATCATACGATATGAAATAGAAGAAAATGATCAAAGTAATCTCCTCTTCCCCACAAGAATGGCTCCAGCCTTTCTGGGTTTCCCAGTAAATACTTGGAAACTTTTAGAGTCAAGTACACAATTCCAGAGCAATGAAAAAGATCAGAACTATCCAGTTCATTCTATAGCAATTAGGCCACAAGACACTTGTATGACCTTGAGCATGTCTGGTCTTTTCTGAGCCTCTTTTTTCCTTTTCCGTAAAGTAAGTTGGCAATACTGAGCCCATAGGATTGTTAAGATTACAGGTTAGGATCTAAGAAGCCAGGATAGTCCCTAGAAAGTAGTTAGCGCTCAGTAAATGATAGGAGTTATTATGATAGTGACACTATTTCAAGACAAAAATAGCACACCAAAGAAAACTTTACTCCAGATTAGTTTATAATTGTAGATTAGAAAAATTTAAATAAAATACTAGTAAAATAGACCTATTGGTAGAATAATCTACCAAAAGAGTTTCCCTGAATCATGCATGAAGGTTAAATCAATCAATATTGAAAATCAATCAATATTGTATACTATGTCAATAGGATAAATAAGAAAATCACATGCTTATCTTGATGGTCATTTTGTAAAATCTAATAAAATTCATTACTAATTCTTAACAGAAAAAAAGCTCAGCCTGTGATAAAGAGCTTCTGTGTTAAGTAGCCAACTTTGTACTTAGAGAAACACTAAAAGTACTTTTTTTGTTTGTTTGTTTGTTTTTTAAAGATTTTATTTTTTTCCTTTTTCTCCCCAAAGCCCCCCAGTACCTAGTTGTATATTCTTTGTTGTGGGTCCTTTTTAGTTGTGGCATGTGGGACGCTGCCTCAGCGTGGTTTGATGAGCAGTGCATGTCCGCGCCCAGGATTCGAACCAACGAAACACTGGGCCGCCTGCAGCGGAGCGTGCGAACTTAACCACTTGGCCACGGGGCCAGCCCCACAATAAAAGTATTCTTAATTAAAATAACCAAGAAAAAGAGGCTGCCTGCTGTTGTCATTGTGATTATTCTTGTTTTAGTCTTGACCAGAATTTTGTAACATTCTCCAAATGCAACAATAAAAAAGGGTTGTCCAGACTAGGAAGTGGTGTAAATATTGGAAAGAGAGAGATAAAAATATTGTAGATGATATGATTTTATATTTAGAAAATCAAAAGTAATCACAGAAAAACTAATAATATGAATACAAATTCAGCAAAGTAGTTAGATATGGGGTGAATATATAAAAATCTGTAACAATCTTATATATGAGGTATAACAAGTTAAAATATCTTCGCTTTATGTTCCATTTACATACATTTGCCTTCATTTTTCCTAAACATAATAGCATTGAATCATAATCTACATATGGGGGCAATTATGAGACATTTCCAAAAACTTGGCAAATAAAGAAAATAAGATTATCCTATGGGAGTTAAACTATAAAATTAATTACTGAATGGGTCACAACAGAGACATGTGAAGCATCCTAAAAGAAACTATTTCTCAGGCCTAAAATTTAAATATAATCTGATAGAAGGGAAGCAGAGGTCCCCAAGATCACCCCCAAGTTCAGTGATTAACTAGGAAGGCTCATAATTCTCAGCATACAGGCATATTCACTACTAAGAATTATTACAGTAAAAGTATACAGAGCAAAATCAGCAAAGGAAAAAGGCACATGGGGTGAAGTCCAGAGGAGAGCGGGTGCAGACTTTCAAGAGTCTCTCCCAGTGAACCTGCACAGGATGAACTTAATTCCCCCAGTAACAAGTGAGACACGAATGAAATGTCTGCCAGGGAAGCTCACTAGGGACTCAGTGCCCAGGGTTTTTACTGGGGACTGATCACGCCTACATCCTCTGCCTGGCGCATACCAAAATGCCGTTCTCCTGGAAGGAAAGCAGGTGTTTAGCATAAACCATCTTGTTTGCACAGTCTAGGCAACATGAGCCACTCTTACCAGTTCTGCTAATGGTGGGAACCCTCCCCAAATCAATTCTCAGAAGCCAGCTAAGGGCCAGCCTTGTAAGCAAGCCTTTCAAAGAATAGTGGACCTGTTATACTAACTCTTTCTAAATAGTATTAAAAAAGAGAGAGAAAGAGAGGTTGGTCAGCAAGGGAAGCAAAGAAGGAGGAGACCTTGGGACATAAATAACAGTGATGTCCATTATAGCACTCTCCAAGAGCTGAGCGTCACGGCAGGGATCCAGAAGGCATCTCTGCGGGATGGGAGAACACCTCCAGCTGCCTTATCTGAAGCATGCTCTTTAGTATCATTCAACTTACTCCCTTTGTTTTGATTACAAGAAATTTCTAATTTATCTTAATTATTTGTTTAATTTTTTGTATTGATATTATATTTAAAAATCAAAAATGCATATTGTGAAATCTCTTCATCCTTCCAGTCCCAATTCGCTCAGGTACTCTCTGTCCGTATACGTAATCACTGTTGTCTGTTCCTTGTTTATCCTTCTATAGATTATTTAAAAATGCATATATGAGCCAAAACAAATATATAGTCTCTAGTCTTCTTAACTATATAAATAGTAGTAGCATGCTACGCACACTGTTCTGTATCTTACTTTTTTTTCGCTTAATAAGAAATGTTGGTGGTCTTTCCATATCCATTCGTAAATAACTTCCTCATTCTTTTTTTTAATAGCTGCATAGTATTCCATTGTATGCCTGTGCCATAATTTATTCTGCCAATCCCTTATTGCTGATCATTGGTTGTTTCCAGTCCTTTACTGTTACTAATAATGCAAAAGGAATAACTTTGGACTTATGTTATTTAACAGGTTTGAGGGTATATCTGTGGGGCAAATTCCTAGTTGTGGAATTGCTGTTGTTAATGGAATATGCATTGAGATTTAATAGATAATGCCAAAATGTCTTCTAAAGAGTTTGTACGAGCGTTTACTCCTACTCTCTAGATATGAGTGTTTGTTTCCCCATGTTTTTGCCAATGGTGTATATACTCAAACTTTTGGAAATTTTGCTGAACTGATAGGTTTAAACATGGTATTTTGGTGTAGCTTTGATTTTATTTCTCTTATTATCAGTAAAGTTGAGCATCTTTTCATGTATTTGAGCCAATTATGTTCCCTTTTCTGTGAATTCCCCTGTTATCTTTCACTCATTTCTCTGTTAGGTGACTGGTCTTTTTCTTATTAATTTGGAGAATCTCTTTCTATACTAAGGATATTAATCCTTTGTAATATGAGCTGCAAATATTTTCCCCAGTTCATCATTTAGCTTTTGATTTAGTTTGTGCTATATTTTATTTACTATGCCTAAGCCTTTGATTTTTGTAACTGGGTTTATTAATCCTAATCATAATAGTTAGGAAGATCTCCTTGGTTACAAAAATAACCTTTATTTTCTTTCGGCACTTTTATTGTTTAATTTTTTTACACAAATCTTTTATATATTGGGTATTTATCCTAGTGAATGGTATGAGGTATGGATCCAACTTTTTTTTCTAGATTGCTATCCAGTTTTTCCCACCAATTTGAACTGTCATCTTTGCATATATACTCAAGTCCTATCTGCTTCGGGGTCTAATTCTAGACTCTTCATTCTCTTCCATTGATCTTCCGCCTCCTCAGTGCCACACATTTTTAATCACTGAGGCTGTAAAGTCTGTCTTAATATCTGATGAGTCTAGTTCCCCTTCTTTGCTCTTCTTTTTCAGGGTTTTCCTGGCCAATCTACTTTTTCCATATGAACTTTAGAATTATTTTTTTCAGTTGCAGGGAAGAGCCTGTGGCCATTTTTATTGAGGTTGCTTTACATTTTAATAAACGGATGTAACGATATCTTTCAAATGGGCTCCTAAGAACATAGTATATTTTTCCGTTTGCTCAAGTCTTCATTTTTATCATTCAGAAGTGTTTTTAAGTTATTTTTGCTTTTTTTTCACTTCTTATTAAGTTTACTCCCAGGAGTTTTATCTTTCTTGTTGTCTTACCAGTTTGTGATTCTTGCTTCCTATGTAGATCTGCATTTGGGGAAAGGATATCCTTATCATGCAAAGGGTATTCTGGTTTGACTGTCAGTTTAATTCTCACTGTAAATGAAGGCATTGGCATTCTAGATTTATATGTCACTGCATGTGAGCAGTTAATATGATCCACAATGAGAGATTAATCCAATCTTCACATACAAGTAAGTCAGGTTCCAGAGCCTATGAGACTGAGAGCCAGATCCTAGATCTTGGAAAATTCACCCTTGTAAATACTAGTCTATGTTGCCCAATGGGGTGGCCTCTTGGTAGACAGCCAGGTGACCTCTCCCTGTGACACTGCAACCGTGTATATGCCTTTATTTAAAAAAGCAATAATTCACTTGGCAAACTTCACTATTTTAAGAAAGCCTCTTACACATGGTAGTTAGATATGAATGGCAGTCTCTTCAGCTGTTGCAGATGTTTCTGCATCCGTTTGTGAGTATAAGGGCCCATTTTATACACTAATGATGTGCTTTGGGAAATTAGTGAGTAACTATCTTTGGTCAAATCTTTAATGAAAGTTTTAAATTCTTATATATTACAGAATTTCACAAACTTATTTGGACAGCCACTAGTCTGCTTGCTTTCTCCTACAGCATATCCAAAAGCTTTACAAGGTATGTTCTGTTATTACCTGTTACATCTGTAGGTTGTAAATAAACACTGTCTACATTTTGAATAATATTGATCTTTGTCTCCCCAACTCATAATGATCACATGTGGATTTATAGTGTTTAATGTGGCAGCTGTCAATCTGAAATAAACCCATAAGTCTTGCCAACATCCAGACTTGTTTAATATGCTACCATTGGGCCTTGAGATAATTCTAAAAGAAGTAATAAATCATCCCTGAGAAAGGGGCGGTTTTGGTCCCTTGCTGTTGGGGAACTCACGATTTGTGAACGTGTTTTGCAGATGTTTGTTTTGGTGTGCTCATCATCATCTGTGTAGCGTGATTTCCTATATCTCTGGCTACATATTTTAGGCATCTTTTAAGAGTGTAAGATTTCTGGTCTAGAAAATGTTTCAGCCTATATCTAAGAGTTAGATAACCTGGCACAACTTAAAGGGTTTCTTTTATGCACATTGTTAGCTTATATTTTTTAAATAAAAGAAACTCTTCTCAGTGGGCCAGAGAGACAGGTCAGTGTTTGGGCCATTTCTCAGATGGCTGAGAAATGAAAGACTTTTTGTCTTGAGTAATTTGTCCTTAATAAGCAACACATAAGACCTGATTCTAACCCGCAGTCATTAAGTTAGGTGAAATACTAAACAAACCTTGACGCTGTTTTGGCAGTCCTTGTCACTGTTTCACTATCTCCCTGACTGTGAATAGTGCGGTGTCTCTATGGGAGATGGCATTTTACTGCTACTCCCCAGCCAGAAGTCCTGTCTGCTGACATAGTTTGACACAGGAAGTGATGGTCAGCATTCGAATGCCTGACAGAAGCTGGAGGCTTTTCACCGTTGTTTTAAGGTAAGTTCTGCTATCTAACAGGGAAAAACATGTAGAAATATTAAGTTCATGTATCCAACAGTCAAATTACTAAGGGATAGAACTTACCTTCAAACAACGGTAAAATTCTCCTGCTTTGAGGACTTTGTTAACCTGTTTCTTATTATTTCTAGAGAAATGTAACCCCTTCCAATTACCTGAGAGTACTTTTTTGCTATCCGTTTGTCCCTTCAAGATGCAGCTTTATTTAAAATTGCATGGTCTAATTGATTAATAGACCCGTTAAAGGCTTTAGTGAGTAGAGAGTAAAAACACAGACTCTGGAGGCAAACTGATTGAATTTGAATCCCAACTCAGCCACTTACTAGTTGTGTGACTTTGGGAAGTTACTTAGCCACTCTGTGCCTCAGTTGCTTTCCTATCAAATGAAGATAATAATAGTACCTACCTCATTAAATAATTCTAGGTATATTGTAAATATTTACTATGTGCTAACATCATTATTAACTCAGTTAATTGTAATTTTTCCTTAACATTTTTCAGTTCAATATCTTATCTTTTGTGCTATAAAGCTTACATTTGCCCTGTTTGGGCACAAAACTAGCAGATACCTAAGTAGTATTTGGAATGTTAAATTTGTTCCTGTACCTCTGGTATCTAAAGTCTACAGTTCTCTCTTTAACCAAGAATTACTTCATTCACTCAACAAACATTTATTCAACATTTATTTGTCAAGTACTATGCTAGGCACTGGAGATAACACTGACCACACAAATGCAGTTATATTTCTCACAGAGCCAAATGTCCGGTAGAAGATAGAGACAGCCTAACAGGCAACTAACTACTGTAGGTGCTATTAGTGTTTCATAGCAGGAAGCACATGGAAGATGTAAGACGAACTCTTAACCAGCCGTTGAGGGTGAAGAAAGTGGATGAAATGATGTCTAAAGTGGAGTTGGAGGATACACAGAATTAGATGGGGATGGGAAATGGTTGAACAAGAGTGTTCTAGCAGAGAGAGAGTGTGTGAGCCCTGAGATAGGAGCTCTGAGATGAGAGAGTTTGTGGAACATTTAGAAAAATTAAAGCAGTTCCTGCTAGTTAAAGGGTAGAGTTTGGGATTGTGTGACTGAATTACGAAAAACCTTCTAAGATTTGTTAAGAGATTTAAATGGAGGACAATGGAGTGCCATCAAAAGATTTTAAACAGAGGAGTTGCATGAAGGAGGATTCAGTTAACCTTGTGAGGAATGAATTGGAGAGAGCCTTGATGGAAATAGGGAGGTGGTGGGGGCCAGAACCAGGACTAGTTAGTTAGCTTCAAAAGATGCTCAGTCAAGAGAACCAACAGAATCTGGTGGTGGACTGGATGTGAGGGAATAAGGGAGAGGAAGGAGGCAGGTATGGACTCCAGGTTTCTAGCTGAGGTGCTGGTAGAAACAATGGTACTGGATAAGAGGCAGACTTGTGAGAGAACAAAAGGGGAAAGAATTTGCTTTCAATTTTGGACATGTTCAGGTTGAGGTTACCTTTGAGAGGTAGGTTGAATATGGTAGTCTAGAGCAACTCTGTCCGATAGAAATGTAATGGGAGTCACATATGTAATTTTAAGTTTGGTGGGTGTTGTTTTTTTTTTTTTTTTTTTTTGAGAAAGATTAGCCCTGAGCTAACTACTGCCAATCCTCCTCTTTTTTTGCTGAGAAAGGCTGGTCCTGAGCTAACATCCATGCCCACTTGCCTCTACTTTATACATGGGACGCCTACCACAGCATGGCTTTTGCCAAGTGGTGCCATGTCTGCACCCGGGATCTGAACCGGCGAACCCTGGGCCACCGAGAAGCGGAACATGGGAACTTAACTGCTGCACCACTGGGCCAGCCCCAATTTTAAGTTTTCTGGTAGCCACACTAGAAAAAAGTAGAAATAGGTGAAATTAATGTTAACAATATATCTTTTTGTACTAAGGCTTTGAAATCCCATATTTTTTTACACTTCACAGTTTGTCTCAATTTGGACCAGTCACATTTTAAGTGTCCAGCAGCTGCCATAGGACAGCACAGTTGTCAACCTGAGGTGCTCAATCTAGGCTGCAGAAGGGGAACTGGGAATCAGTGGGCACATAAAGGATAACCAAAATTATGGGAGTAGGTGCGATCGGCAGTGTGTAGGGCCAAAGAAAAGAAAGAACATATTGGTATTTAAGGCATAGGCAGAGAAAGAGCAACTAACAAAGGAGAATGAGAAAGATTGGCAATTCTAGTCATTGTCATGGAATCCTATCACAAACAGCCCATGATCCAGCACTTGCCATATTTGGATGAAATTTGTAAGTTACAGGGGAAAAGGCAAAGGAATATGTTCATTTTCCATTTCTCTTAAGTTTACTAGGCTCTATCTTAAGGTGGTTCAGCACAAAGCAACGTACCTGGGGTGTGTTTTTGTAGTTCCATGCAGAATTTACTTTGTTGAATTATGATTTAATGATCTAGCCTTAATTTTATACATTATCAGTATATTAAAATGTTCCTCAAATGCATCTCTTATCTTTTGCAAAAGTGTTGTGTCTCTCTCTCTCTATATAAAACATGTTTGTTATTACAGATCAGTCTCAACGAGGTAGCCTCTTCACTCTCTTTTTGAACAATCCTCTAATGGCCTTCCTATTTGTCTCTGGATTGTCAAGCATGCGTAGAGGCCTGTGGGAAAAGTGTCAAGAATATCTTCGAAAAATCAACCGCGATATTGCCCAGCTTCTGACCCATTCACGTTCAATAGGTACCCTACTAATCTAACTGCACACTTAACAGAGTGTACTATGATGATTTAAAGTGGTTTAAAATTGTTTAAATTGTTTGAATTTTTAAAGGTATTTTGTTGAAGGCAGGAACGTTGAGAAGGTTTTCCTGAACTTTTCTTTCCCTTTGAAATGTATTTTCCATTTAAGCATCCTTTTACTGTCACTTTTCTCCTCTTTGCAGATCAGGCATTTCTCCAGTTTTTTGGAGATGAATTTCTTCGCTTGCTTCTCACAAGATTTATCTTTTGTTCAGCCACCATGAGGATGCACAAGATTTTTCGGGTAGGCAAAGAATGTTATTAAAGACCAGTTTTACCATTTTAAGTATTTAAGAACCATGTATTATATTTTACCTGTATTAAAGTTTGAATAGATCCAAAATAATATTCACAAATTAAAATGTAAGGCATGAAGATGAACAATATAAGGCAAATCTGAGTACCTACCACCCAGTTTAAGAAGTAAAATATTTTAGTTATCTTTGAGGCCCCTCTGTGTATCCTTCCTAATCCTGTCTCCCTCTCAAATGAAACTAAAATCCTGAATTTTATAATTATTATTTGCTTTCTTTACAGTTTTGTCACATGTGTTTGTATTCCTACACAACATATTGATGGATTCATATTGTATGCATTCTTCTACAACTTGCTTTTTTTCACTCACTGTTACATTCCTGAGATTGAGCTATGCTGACTGACTGTAGCTTTCATTCATTTGTTTTCACTGCTATATAGGAGTCCATTGTTTGACTATATATCACAAATTGCTCATCCATTCTACTGATAATAGACGTTTAGGTTATTTCCAGTTTTTTATTATTATAAACAATGCCTCTGTGAAATCTTCTATCAGTTTCCTGGTACATGTATATAAGGTCTTCTCTGGGGAGTGTACCTAATGGTGGAATTGTGAGGTCAGAGGATATAGGCATATTCAGCTTTACTGGATAATGCCAGACTGTTTTGCAAAGTGGTCATATCACTTTTTACTTGCACCAGCAGTGTGTAAGAGTTGCTAGGCTCTAATCCTTGTCGCACTTGTTTCAGTCATACTTATGTTTCCTGTGAATCTGGTGGGTGTAAAGTAGTAGCCCATTGTGGTTTAATTTTCATTTCCAGCATTGCTGTTGAGGTTGAGCAGCTTTTCATATGTGTTATTGTGTTCCTTGTGAAGAGTGTGCTTGAGTCTTTTGTCTGTTTTGCTCTTAAGTAGTTGGTTTCTTTCTGAATATTCATGTGTTCATAACGCTGTTCATTGAGGTTTTAACAATTTTAGCCATTGTATTTTTTACTTCTATAAGTAACATTGGGTTCTTTTTCAAATATACCTCAACTTTTTTTTTTTTTAAAGATTTTATTTTTTTCTTTTTCTCCCCAAAGCCCCCCAGTACCTAGTTGTATATTCTTCGTTGTGGGTCCTTCTAGTTGTGGCATGTGGGACGCCGCCTCAGCATGGCTTGATGAGCAGTGCCATGTCCGCGCCCAGGATTCGAACCAACGAAACACTGGGCCGCCTGCAGCGGAGTGCGAGAACTTAACCATTCGGCCACGGGGCCAGCCCCGAAAAAAAATATTTTAAAACTAAGAGCTACAAAAGACTTTTAAAAATGTTCAGGTAGGGGCTGGCCCCGTGGCCCAGTGGTTAAGTTCTCGCGCTCCGCTGCAGGCGGCCCAGTGTTTCGTTGGTTCGAATCCTGGGCGCGGACATGGCACTGCTCATCAAGCCACGCTGAGGCGGCGTCCCACATGCCACAACTAGAAGGACCCACAATGAAGAATATACAACTAGGTACTGGGGGGCTTTGGGGAGAAAAAGAAAAAAAATTTAAAAATCTTTAAAAAAAAAATAAAATAAAATATTTTTTTTCTTTTTATTATTATAATTTTAAAATGTGAAAGAATTATACAGTGAGTACCCATATACACACTATCTAGATTCTGCAGTTAACATTTTGGTGTGTTTGCTTTCTCACACTTTGTCCATTTATCCATCCTTCTTTCCGTTCATCAATTCATCCCATTTTTGGATGCATTTTGAAATAAATTGTGGACATCAGTAGACTTTACCCTCAACACTTCATCATGCTTATAAACAATCAATTACTGACTTCTTTTTTTAATGTAAAGTTTACATACAGTGAAATGAACAAAACTAATGTGTACCATTAGATGAGTTTTGGCAAATACATACACCTGTGTAACTCAAACCCCAGGCAAGTATACAGCAAAGCATCATTTCAGAAAATTCTCTCCACACCCCTCTTCGGTCAGTCCACTACCTAATAACCCACAGACAATGCTCTTTTTATTATTATCATTCTCCATTAGTTTCACTTATTCAGGAATTTGAATTATACACTGTGGATTCTTTTGTGTAAATCTTCTTTAATTGAGCATATTGTCCTTGAGATTCATCCGTGTTGTTTCATGTCTAAGTAGCTCATTCCTTTTTGTTCCTGAGTAGTATTTCATTGTCTGAATATAACAGTTTGTTTAGGCCTTCTCCTTTTGATGATTAGCTGGGCAGTGTTAAATTTTTGACTATTAGAAATAAAGCGGCTATGAATGTTCTTGTACAGGTCTTTGCACAGACTTGTGTTTATGTTTTGAATTTTCTTGGTCATAGGGTAGGTTTGTGTTTAGTTGTATAAGAAACTGCCAGACTTTTTCTCAAAGTTGTTGTATCATTTTATATTCCCAGCAAGAACGTATGAACATTTCTCTACATCCTTGCCAACGTTTGGTGTTGTCAGTCTTTTAAATTTTAACCATTCTGGTGGATTTATAGTGATATCTCGTAATTTCAGTTTACATTTCACTGGTGAATAATGATATTGGACATCTTTTCATGTGCTTATTAGCTACATTTTATCACATTTTGTGGCTTGCCTTTTTGTTTTCTGTTCCTGATCTGCTGAGAGTTTTTATTAGGAATGGGTATGGAAGATTGTGAAATACGTTTTTTCTGCATGAATTGATCTGATATATATTAATTCTGTTAACATGGTGAATAGCATTGCTTGATTTTCTAATTGTAAGTCAACCTTGTATATCTGGGTTAAACACATTTTGTGGTCATGTATTACCCTTTTGCATTACTGTATTCAATTTGCTAATGTTTCACTATGGATTTTTGCATCTGGTTTTATGAATGATTATAGTATTTAATTTTCTTTTCTTGTATGTCTTTGTATGGTTTTGTTAGCAGGGTAATGCTGACCTCATAAATTGAGCTGGGATGTGTTTCACTGTCTTCTGTTACTTAGAGAATGTCTTTAGAATTGGTATTATTTCTTCCTTAAACAGTTGACAGAATTCATCAGTGAAGCCATCTGGACCTGGAGTTTTTTTTTTTGGAAGGTTTTAAATTATGAATTCAGTTTCAAAGGCTGTTCACGTTTTCTATTTCTTCTTAGTTTTGATCATTTGTGTCTTGCAAGTCGTTTGTCCAATTTATTGCCAAAAATTATTCACAATATTCCATTGTCCTTTTAATTCCTATAGGCTCTCTAGTGATATTTCGTGTCTTATATTGGTTATGTTTCCTTTTTTTCTTTTTCAGCCTAGCTAAAGGTTTATTAATCTTAATGATCTTTCCACATGAACAGTTTTTGCTTTCATCGATTTTTTACTGTTTCTCTCTTTTCTATTTATTTCCATTCATGTTATCGTTTTTCTTCTTTTTAATTACTTTGATTTTAATTTGCTCTTTTAATTTCTGTATTTTTAAGCTTAGATCTAAAACCTTTTTTCTCTTCTAATACAAGTACTTAGCTTTTAAGCGCTGCTTTAGTTGTACGATTTCAGTACTTTTAAATTTGTTGAGACTTGTTTTATGACCCAGCACATGAATTATCTTGGTGAAGGTTCTAGCTGCACTGGAAAAGAATGTGTATTCTGCTATTATTAGATTGAGTGATGTATGCATGTCAGCTTGTTCAATTTGATGTTGAACTGTTTGTTTGTAAACAGTGTTCTCCAAGTCTTCTATTTTCTTACTGACTTTCTTCTTGCTTGTTCTATCCCTCACAGAGGAGTAGCCAAACCTCGAGTTAGAATTGTGAATTGGTTAGTTTCTCATTTCAGTTCTGTTTTTACTTTGTGCATTTTGAAGCTGCTACTGAGTTCATACATACTTAGAGTTGTCATGTCTTGTTGAAATTGCCCGTTCATCATTATGAAACGTCTGTCTTTATGGATGACAGTATTCCTTGATCTGCAGTCCACTTTGTTCAGTCTTGGTATAATCATGCCTGTTGTCTTCTGGTTTGTGTTTTCATGGCAAATCTTTTTTCATCCTCTTACTTTTAACCTATGTCTGTCTTAATATTTAAAGTCGTTTCTATTCAACAGCATTAAAGTCCTGCTTTAAATCTAGTTTGACCATCTCTACCTTTTACTTGACATTTTTAGTTTTAAATTACATTTATGTTAAATGTAATTTTTAAAATAGTTTGATTTAAATACGCCGTTATTTGTTTTCTATTTGTCCTGCCTCTGGTTTGTACGTTTTTCCTTTCTCTCCTGCCTTCACCTTCATTTAAATTAATTGAGGTTTTGTTTTGTTTTAGAATTTTAACAACACTGTTTATTTATGCTATATCTCTTGTTTTACTTTTTTAATACCACTTCACATTTAATATAATTATCTTACAGCAGTGTACTTTGATTTTCTCCCTCCTATACTCTCTGTACTATTATTGTCATATTTTTGACTTTATTTTTGGAGGGGGTGTACATTATTATATTTTGATTTCTGTATAGATTACATCATATTCACCACCCAAAGACTAATTACCGTCTATCACCATAAACATGTGCCTAATCACCCCTTTTGCCTCCCTCCCTCCCCTGTCCTGTTTGATACTTGGTGGTTATCTAACCTTAAATAATCAATTATCTTTTAAAAAAATTTTTAAATGAAGAGGAATATCTTATATTTTTACCATTGCTGGCACTCTTTATTTCTTTCTATAGATTTAATTTTCCATCTGGTATCATTTTTCTTAGTACAGAATTTCCTTTTTCATTTCTTACAGTGCAAACCTTGTGATTAATGCTCTCATTACTTGTTGATCTGAAACACTCTTTATTTCACTCTGATTTATTTTTTTTTTCAAGGAAGATTGGCCCTGAGCTAACATCTATTGCCAATCGTCCTCTTTTTGCTTGAGGAAGATTTTCACTGATTAACACCTGTGCCAGTCTTCTTCTATTTCATATGTGGGACACCGCCGCGGCATGGCTTGATGAGTGGTGTGTAGGTCCACACCTGGGATCCGAACCCACGAACCCCAGGCCACTCAAGTGGAGTGTGTGAACTTAACCACTTGTGCCACCACAGTGGCCCCTGATTTTTTTTTTTTTTTGAATTATGAGTTATTTAAAATACGTTGTTTAACAGTATCTAAATATTTGGGACTTTTCAAGATATCTTTTCCTTATTGATTTCTAATTTAATTCCTTTGTGGTCAGATAATATACTTTGAGTTCTTTTAAATTTATTGAGACGTTGTTTATCACCCAGAATGTGGTCTGTCATGGTAAATGTTCTATGGTCATTTGAAATGAATATATCTGCTGCTACTGTAGGATGAAGAGTTTTATAAATGTCTGTTAGATCACATTGGTCTATAATGTTGTTCAAGTTCTTTATATCCTTACTGACTTTCTGAGTACTTATTCTGCTAATTATTGTGGTATGTAATGTATCTTTTGATTTTCCTCTAGCTGTTTTTAAGATTTTCTCTTTATGTTGGCTTCCGATAACTTGATTTTGATATACCTTGGTAGGGTTTTCTTTCTTATTTTTTTTCCTACTCGGGATTCAGTGAGCATCTTGGGTATATGGGTTATAGTTTGCAAATATTTTGGAATCTTTTCAGCCATTATTTCTTCAAACTTTTTTTCTTCCCACCTCCTTTTCTGTCTTTCTGGGACATCAGTTACATGTATGTTAGACAACTAATATTGCCCTACAGGTCACTGATGTGCTCTTCATTTTTTTTTAAGTCTTTTTTTCTCTCCATGTTTCAGTTTCTATTGCTGTGTCTTCAAGTTCATAATGTTTTCTTCTGCAGTGTCTAATATGCTGTTAATCCTATCCATCTAGTTTTTCATTTCAGGGATTACATTTTTCTCTTCTCTAGAAGTTCTGTTTGGTCCTTTTAATATTTTCCATTTCTCTTCTCATTATATTTATGTTTTCCTTTGTGCTCTTGAATGTATATGTAATAGCTAAAGTCTTTATCTGCTAATACTATATATTCTCTATCATTTATAGGTTTGTTTTTATTGTTTTTCCTAAAGGTTAGAGGTCTCATATTCCTAATTCTTTATATGTCTAGTAATTTTCTATTGGACTGTGGGCTTTGTAAATTTTATGATGTTGAATTCTGGGTTTTGTTGTCTTTAAAGAATATTAGACTGTTCTGGTGGAAGTTAAATTACTTGAGAATCTCTTTGACCTTTTCATGGCCTGTTTTTAAGCTTTTTAGGAGTGGGTTTAGAATAGCACTAGCATACAGATATAGGCTTATTTTGGTGTAATACTGAGAGGCATGATTCTTCTGGGCTCTCTTTTGTGTGTTTCCTGTTTCAACAAATATTGTCCACTCCAGGAGGTATTTGGTCAGAATTCAAACATCTCCTGGCCCTCAGTGAGTGAAGAAAATTATTCAGTTTACAGTAGTCTCCCAGTAGTTCTTGTTTTTTTGTTTTTTGGGGGTTTTTTGAGGAAGATTAGCCCTGAGCTAACATCTGCTGACAGTCCTCCTCTTTTTGCTGAGGAAGAGTGGCCCTGAGCTAACATCCGTGCCCATCTTCCTTTACTTTATATGTGGGACGCCTGCCACAGCATGGCTTGACAAGCAGTGCCATGTCTGCACCCAGGACCTGAACTGGCAAACCCCCAGCTGCCAAAGCAGAACATGCAAACTTAACCGCTGCACTACCAGGCAGGCCCCTTTCTCGAGTTTTTGAACATTTCATTGTTGTCGTTTCTCATAGTGTTTAGCGATTAAAAAAAAAAAATTGGTCTTTGTAATGTGTAATGAGTGAGGCCTACAGGCAGAAGAGAGAGAGAAATGACATTTGAATATATGTGCGCTGTCATGTTAGCTGCATAGAAAAGTAGTAACTTATTTCTTCAGGAAAGTTTAAATGTGTGGCAAAATTATAGTCTATAGACATTACCAAATGAAGAATAATTTCTGAATGAGAATTGCCTGGTTCTTGAAGTTGTCTCCTTCTTTTGCTTCCATGTGATTACAATTTTTTTTTCTTTGACTATTCCTTTTCTGTCCCTTTTTCCCCCTGATCTTTCATCTCCTTTTTTAGGGATTCTTTTTTTCACTCTCTTTACTAATATTCTTAGAAATCTCATTTATTTTCATGGCTTTAATGTTTATCCCCATGCAGATTATATCAGTATTTACCTATACAGCTCAAACCTATGTTCTGAGATACAGCCCTGAATTTTCAAATTCTGGTTGAGGGGCAGTTCTGTTTGTATTACCCTATTACCTCAAATAAAATATACCTAAAACCTGAAGCTTTATATTATCCCCAAATTATGTCTTCCTTTACTTCTCTTTTTCCCTCAGTAGCTTCCAACTCTTCGCTGGAGACATCCTTTCCTGAAATCTTACAGTCATCTTTGACGCCTCCCTCTCCTATAATTAATTGCCAGGGCCTGTTAATTTGACCTTTTCAGTGTTTCTCATGTCTTTTCTCTCATTTTAATTTCCACTGCAACATCTGTTTATTCATTCATTTAACAAGTACTTGTTTAAATTCTATATATGCTAGGATTTTTCCCCCTGCAAGTAGGAATTATATGGTTTCCACAATATAGCATCATGCCCAGCAATGATAGGCCCCAGTAAATATTTGTGAAATAAGTCACTAAATTAATATATTAGGTTGAACCATATGAAATTGTCATTTTTTAAGGTTAAAATGGTCAATGTCAGCAATTTCACATGTTCAACAAATATATTACCAATAAGAACCATACCGATACGAAGGAGAAAAATACATATTAAGTTACTCCTTAATACTGTTAATGTTAACAGTAATATTATTAGTGTGCATAATTTTTTTTCATTAAACTATAAAACGTGACTTTTCTCTTCTTTGCTTACCAGGAAACAAGAAACTATCCAGAATCATATCCACAACTGCCAAGGGACGAGACTGTGGAGAACCCCCATCTCCAGAAGCACATTTTGGAATTAGCCTCCATCCTGGACGTTCGAAACGTGTTCCTGGAGAATACCATAGATGACTATTAAAACAAAAATTCTCTTGTCAAAACAAGTTTTCATTTGCCACAGATTTTAAATGGTGCAGTTTTCTAATGGGATGACAGACACACAGTGGTGTTACTTAGTTTTTATTTTTTAATTTAGGACCACCATTTTAAAAACAAACTGAAAAAATTGTTCAAACTTTTAGGGTAACTGTTTTAAAATACAATCTTTCAGGTGTTTTAAAAAACTCGATTAATCTTGGAATTTTTATTTTTTGGTTTTGAGGTGTGGATACTTACTTCCAACATCTAATCCTGCACTCCAGTAGTCACTATTCTCACCCTGAGAAGAGTAAATCATTTATTTTTGTATAATGAGGAAAATCCAACTTGGACCTTAAATGTGTGGATTTGGAAAATATGTAATTGTACACAAAGATGAAACTAGCCAGCATGGACTACCAAAAATCAGGAACAGAGTCCTTCCATAATATTTCTTTTCATTCCAAGTTAGTAGGTAGAAACGTGTGATTCTTTGAAGCATAATCGAGACAGTTGTTGACAGTTCATTTGATTTGTTTAAATACTGTCAAAATTTCAGAAACCGTATAGAAGTGATTTGATCTGAAAGTAAATCTTTAACTGGGGTCTTGAGATGATAAATATCCGTTTGGAATGTGTGAGTCCTGTGTTATCGCGAGATATGTTTGCATATTTTATTTTCTTTATAGTCTTTGAATGCTAGAAATGAAAAAGAACAACTTTTAAATATTTAAGTCAAAACATCAGATTGTCAGTTTCATAATACAGTGTTTCCAGTAGGAATTCTATTTAAACTCTTAATTCATGAGATCAAGTTTAAAGACTATCTAGATTGAAGTCGGTGGCGTACGGTACAGAGGTTGTAATCTTTTCACCTAGTTCAAATTTATGAGACTTCAAGGTCAGAGATGTTATTAATTTTAGTTGAAGGTAACTGAGTTGTTATTTAACCTAAAATGGAAGTTGCTTTTGCATTGTCAGTTGGGAAATAAGATTTTTTAAAACTCCTTGTATTTAATATTTTATATTCATGCACAAGTTTTTTATTATTTTAAGTAGGACTCAGTGTATAATGTAAAGTTTTTTGTGTTTTTCTTCCCTGTCTTCCCCTTCATAATTTCACAGGCACTAGCTATGATGTTTATTTTCCTTCTTTGGACTCCACAGCATTCAGATTCAGAAATCTATGAATCAAAAGCCCTTCTAGCTAGTTTTCTGTGCAGGCTCACGTTCTACCTCTGGCAGTCCCAGGGGAAATGAAGTGACTGCTTTTGGTGCCTCTTTCCTGTGTCCCTGGGGAAATTTTACTGTACAGTTTTTCACCTCGTTTTCATTTCTGGCACAGAGCATTATTTGGGTCTAAGTTACTCATCTACCTGTTCCAATTTGCTGATTTTTCATCTGAAGTCTTGAAGTTATTCTTTGGTTTGGGGGACTTTGTGGTGTTTCATTTTTTTAATTATTTTTGTTTGTTCTTTTAAACATTATTTCAAAAAGCTTTGGAAAAGTTACCCTGGAGAGAGATTTTCTTTGCTCTGGGTTGTTTTTCATTATCAGATAAAGACTGCTTTCCTTTCATTTCAATACCTTAATAAACTTTGTAGCTTTCCTTTGGTAACAGAAGTCACTGGACTACAGCAATAGACTATCCTTAATTGTGTGACGTTTTTTCAGTACCCCTGAAGTTCTGTGCCAGTAGTGTTCCTAACAGCACATGTTTTCCTGTTCTCTGATGCGTAAAATAATATTTCTCATCCTGAGCTTTGTCCTCACCTGTTTAGCGTAAAGAACACTGGTCTGAGAAGTAGGAGACCTGAGTTCTAATCCTGGCTTTCCTGGTAACTGGCTTTATGCCCTTTGACTAGTGTCTTCACGTCTCTGCTTTTTAGCACTCTCCTCTGTAAAATGCAGGTGTTGGCCCGAGGTCCTAACCAATTCTATGGTTCTGTAATTTGAACTCTTGGTTCTGAAAGATAAGTGATTTCCCCACCCTTGCCACCTGAAAATCTAGTTTCCCTGATTTTAAGTGTATCTAACATTTTCTTCCTAGATCATATTTACCTAGTTTTTGGCCAAGAAAATACTGGGTCCCACTGAGTTGTAGAAACTAGTTCAGAGAGAGAATCTCCTGCAGAAATTAGAGCTTTTGTGATTAGAAACATGTTTGAGAACAAGGGGTCTTAGAAATCCCATTAGGGTTTAGGTGATGACATTGCTCCTTAAGCTAATAGTAGTGTAATTCCTTACTGGTACTTAAAAATCTGAAGTGAACTGAAATGATCTTGAGAGAAAAGCTGCTAGAAAATTCTAAACTGTTTCACTCATGCCTCCAAAAAGCTTCTATTGAACAACAACTATGCGCCAGATTTTGTTCTGGGCATTGAGGAAGCAAACAAAGTAACTGAAAGGTCTTTGTCTTCATGAAGATTACATTCTAGTGGGAGGAGTAAGGCAGTAAATGTAATAAATAAGTACATTATGTTAGAAAGTTGTAAGGAGTATGAAGAAAATAGAGAGAATGGTAAGGGAAATTTTTTGTTTATTTTTGGGCAAAGAACAATGTTGATATGAGTGATCAGGGTAAGCCTTATTGAGAAGATCACCTTTGTGCAAACACTTCATATTTCTTTGTCTTTTCTTTCTTTTTTCTACTTTTTATTATGAAAGTTTTAAACATACACAGAGTTTAATGAACCCTCTTGTACCCATCACCCAGCTTCTACATTTTAAGGCATTACTTTAGTCAAGGAGGAAGAGACGTAAAAGGACAATCACCCAATGGGCTCAAGATGGCAGTGGCAAAGAGTCTCATTTTTCAGTGGGTACCGCTCCCCTTTATAAATGTAAAAATGTTAAGCCCTTTATTTATTTATTTTTAGAACTTATAGAAATTTAAATATTGGAACTAAGAACAAAGCAAAGCAATGGGATTGAGCACTTGTTTGTTTTCAAATTGCACAAACTCCCCCTGGAGATTCTGATACACAGTCTCTCACCTCCCTGAAGAATCATTGTAAACAAAACAGAAAGTATAAGGTTGCAAGAAGTCGGTCATACACAAAGCAAAACTAAGCACAATGGAATTATTTTCTCTTTCTTTATCCATGTATTTCCAAAGTTAGTCAAGCAACTACCCCTATTTTACAGAAGAGAAAGCTGAGACCCCAAAAAGCTGTCAGATTCTTTGTAGTGATAGAGCTACAACTAAAACTCACATCTCCTGATCTCAGCTCAGTCTTTCTGGCAGCTCAGGCTGCTTTCTATAATGAATGAGAAAAGAAAGAATTAGAGATTTATATTTTGGCACAAAGGTTATGATATTTTTTTAATATAGCAAATATTGAAACCAGTAAGTCAGCTCTAGCAAATTTTTCTTTATTAATTATAAAAAAATCCACAAGCGAGACATTTTATCTTTGGTTTTAGCCAGGATATATTCTTCGTTGTGTGTGTGTGTGTGTGTGTGTGTGTGTTTTCCTCCTAGGAAGTGGTGCTCTCAAAACCCGTCAAAGCACATAGAATTTATTGTACCCTTTCTATTTTTACCAAGTTGAAATGTTTTGAGATTATAAAAGCCAAATGCAGTCTAGTCAGGACTGAAATTTTCCTGATACAGAGTCTGGGTTTTATTTTTTCCTCACTTGTGGCTACTGCCCTTTGTTTTCTTCTTGTGCTAGAATTCCCTGAAACATACTAGGTGACAATGGAACTGAGTTTCATTGAGGTGAAGGAAAAAAGCTACAAGGCTGATTTATATATCACTATGGAGCTTTCTTTAGCATTCTTTAAGTTCAATCTCTGACCTTTGTGACTTAGTAACTTTCTGTCTCTTAGAAGGGGTTTGGACTCAGTTGAAAAATCTTGTGCTTAGTTATCCACGGAGACTTGTAATCAGCCGGATATACAGAGAACATTCTGGACTGGAAATAGAGTGAGGTACCAAGGTCTGCAAACTTGGCTACTGCCAGTGATTCAGAACCACCTCCCCACCCTAAGTGAGTAAAAAGATTTGATATGAATACGAATGGTATGAATCTCCTGGTGATATTTTGGGTGTATATGTTCCTGTGTGTGTGTTTGGAGAATATAAAGGGTATTTACGTTGAGGGCTCTTTTGTTGACCTTATTTATTTGAAATCTTTATTTTATTTGTAATGGCATGTGTATATTTTGTGATGCTCAATGCAATCTCTGTGTATACTTTTTGTATATATGTACATATTTGTAAATATACTGGTATGCAGTGATACAGTATGTGTATATTATATACCCATACCCATTGTGGGCTGAATTTATTTAAGTTCTGTGAGGACATCATAGTGGCATTGTTCATGCTGCTGTTAATTAGGTTGTGACTGTATCTCATTCATAAGCCTCTATTTTGAGGGGCTTGTGTTTGGGTAAAATGGGCTACTTTGGAGTTGAAATTAGGCTATGAAGATCTTAACAGAAAGCTGGATATTCTTAGCTTTAAAATCATCTGCCAATTTTCATTTAAACTGAGGATAAATTAGTGATATAAACCTGAAAAACCTAAGTATGTGAAACTGAGACACCAGCAGGTTCTTAAGCTATATTAGTCCTTTATTTTCTTGACCTCTTGTTAAGTATTATTACTGAGTAGTAGTTATATTGAGAATCAAGGGACTGTGGAAAAAACTACTTTGATCACATTTCAAAATAGATAGGAAAATGTCCTTTAAATTGGGAAATATGTTCCTAGTTGCAATTTCAATACCTAATACTGAATTTTAATTTTGGGACAATTTTTTTTTTTTTTTTTTTACTGATGTGTCTCATTTTATGTCTGTCTCTGTGAGGCAGAAAAAGGGGCATTAGCTAGGGAAAGGCTTTACCTAGGTGGGGTGGAATTTAATGTGGGACAGGAGGTTGTTAATCTGTATATTTGCAGCAGCTGTGATTAATTTAGTCCTGTGTTGGCATTTCCGACTATTGATTTTTCTTATTGGTGTTGCATATCGAAGATGAGTATGCTCATCTGAGAATATGCTTCCAGTGAATAAAATGCCTCCCGTTGTATTTATTTGTCTCTGTGAGACCACTTTTGTTCTGCAAATTGATGATATATTCACACATGAAATAGGATTCTTAATATTAGGTGCATGGTGTGCTATAAAATCTGGGCCATCAAACCTCTACCAAAGATGACGGTGGGGGAGGATAAAAGGATAGTAAGTATATGCAGTGCCAACTTGTGAACCTATGAAATATCAGAGTATCAATGTTGAGTTACTCCTGTCTTTACTGGGCATGTTTATTTGCATGGAAGAGTGTAGGAGATGTTTGATATGCATTTGAATACATTCACTGCAGAAATTAAGTAGAGGTTATTTTTGCATGATAAAATATAACTGCAGAGCAACTGTTTACCCCATTATTCTTCAGAAGAGTAAATCTATGTGATCCGACAGTAAATTATCTTAAAGAGAAGTTAGTTAGGAGTCAATTTTACTACCCCAAAAATGTTACATTTGCCTCTTCACTGTATTTTTAAGAAAACAGCAAAGTATTCATAACACTTCAATTACACTAAGTTTAAAATAAAGTTATAATAGCCTTTTTCTTAAATATTAAATTTGGTAATGTACCGTTTCTGAAAAATCAGTGAAAGTGTCCATGGTGTCTGATGTTCTGTTGTTTTAGTAACCAAACCATTTATTGCAATGGGAGAGTAGCAGAGCAGATGTTGTGCTGTTTGGAATTCGTGGAACTGACTCAGGCTTAATGTGGACATTGATTCGAGGAGCTTAGCAGCAATAAAAAGTGCAGTAGATGAGATTGACATTGTGAGTCTGACCTCTAACAGTTGTAAAGCCAGTTACTTTGCAGTTAAACAAGATAAGAATTGCTTAGAAAACCAAGCCCTTTCGCCCCATTCTCCTGTCCTCTTAGACATTGATACTCGATACTTATTCGTGCTATACCTCTGGTTCTTTCCTGGATACTCTGCCACTTTACCTGAAAAAAAAAAATTTTTTTTAAAGGCAGTTCATCTTCCTCAATCTAGATGATCAAAACATAATATTACACTGTGTCCCTAGATGATCAAAACATAATATTACACTGTGTCCCTAGATGATCAAAACATAATATTACACTGTGTCCCTAGATGATCAAAACATAATATTACACTGTGTCCCTAGATGATCAAAACATAATATTACACTGTGTCCCAGCTTCACTGAGTTTTTGTAACACCGAGACATATTAAGCATGCCTTGTGTTTAAGGAATAATAATTGATGTGTGAATGGAATCAGTCACCTACTGAAGGGGGAAGGGTGTCAGGATGATGTAGGGGGACATGCCCTTAATTGGGTAAAGATAAATCTATTAAATTAAGTATAATTAATTTGTTGGTACCATAGAAATATTTCCTTTGGAATTCTGTAGATATGAAATGTTTTCTTATGCTAAAATTGGTATTTTTCACTTCTTAGTTTGGTTTAATATTGGCTTTTGAGAAGAATTCCATTTCTGCATAACATTGTTACTTAATCATTTATTGAAGTACCATTTCTTAATTTTAAAATATTTTGTTAATTTCTTCTGTGGTTTTTTTTTTTTTAAAGTTATATTTTAAATTAGTTATCAAACTTCGCTAAGCACTATGATTTTTTAAAACATATTTGAACAGTAGATGCAGAATTTTTAATAGTTTGAAGTAAATTATATTAATTCTGCACTCCAGCTTCATTTAATCATAAAGCCTGAATTTGGTCATAGAACGGACTATACGTTGGAAATATTTTCCTATTTTGGTGGACAATTCCAGGCTATCTCCTAAGACAATCATCTTTTGAGGTGTAGTATTGTTTATTGAGACATTGGTAATTTCAGGGTTCAGATTTTTCCTTTTCTGATGGGCTTATGGAATGAAAGTTAATGGACCAAGTGATTATATCACTTTCAGAATGAGATAGGGAATTATAGCTAGCCTTTCTAGATCTGCAGTAAACAATATTTAAAATTTTATCTTCTATCACTAATATTCTTTTCTCTTTTAAAGCTGTTGTGAATGTCCACTTGTCCATGATTGAAAATTAAGATTTGTAAACATTACAATTTCACCCGGAAGTTTTCTCAAATGTCAAATCTGTACAGTCTATAAAATGTGAAATGATCATATATGATAATCCCCAAATAAATACTTCCAAACCATAGAGAAATAACCACTGTATTTTTAAAAATCTTATTCCTACCCTTCTTTGCATGTTACTGATTTTTTTAATAAGTTATAAATATATGTTGTGATGTACTAAAAATCTACAGGAAAAACTGCTTAAAATGTTTTAGGGCAATAAGAATTTTTATTACTGTTTCCTGAAGAATTAGTTGTTTGTTTGTTTGTTTTTAACTAATTTCTTTATCTTATCAGAAAGAACTTTTAACGGTTCAGCAAAATATTTTAGGGCTTTGTGTTCATGGCTTTTTATAGTTATCTGGGTACATTCCTTTTGCCACATAGACCATATGGCTAGTTCTCCAACCGTTTTTTGTTTTTAATAAACCTTGCTGTTCAACAATCAGAGTCTTCTATTTTGGAGGCTTCTCCCAGTTGAGGTAGAAAGGTCTTAGATAATAGGAAAGGCAGATACAACGTCCTAACATTTTCATAGTAGAGTTTACAAGTAGATAAATAGGTTATCTTCATTGTGTAGCACCAGTACAAATAGTAATTTCATTAATCATGGAATCAGATAAGCAGTTATAAATAATTTTATACTTTGCTCTAAAGATTATTGTTATTTCAGGCCACGTTATTATTTTCTCTCAGCAATTTCCACTGTAAGGTTGAATATCCTTTTTCTTTATTCACATCATCACTAAAGGTTAAGATAATCAAATAAGAGTTAAAATAAGTTATGTTTGATCTTTTTCCCTGAAAATAATGGTGAACCTATTGTCTATATTATGGATATTAGGCAGAAATGCACTTGTTTCAATCATAGCAGAAATTACATTTGGAGAATATAATTACTTGATTTTCTTGTGGTGTGAAATACTTAAAAAATTGTGCTCGTCTGTAACTGAAATGTTATAGAATTGTAACACTATAGGGATTATAGAGTTATATTTATTAGCTCTCCTCAAGAGATTGAAGCACAATAATTTTCATGTAACAGTTCTTATCCAAGTGCTGCTAATCTGTCGTGCAAATATGAAGCTAATTGGTTGCCTATCTAGCTATTCACAAATCACTGTAATCCTTGAGACATAGTCTTGTTGCTCATTTGTATTAAATTTTGGGTGTTGTGGGTTAATACTTTAGAACAAAATCCATCAACTCAGCTCTGTGAGACAGCAAAACATTTGGATTCATTAGTTTTATATGTGTTATCAGTAGAATAAATTTTGAAGGGGCTATTTACTACCAGTGACTAAGGGGGAAACTTATATTGTCAACATCATTTGACTTGAACTTTCGTGGTATTGTAAAAGTCTTGTCTGTTGTGTTTCTAAATTGCTTAAGCCATACATACTTTTAAGGGTGTTTTCCCGTTTTCTTCCTTGTCAGCAGCCTTTTACTGCTTTGTCTGTTATGGTTAATATTTCATAGATTTTAGAAATTGAGAAGTTATTGAATCATTTTATTTTCTTGAGTTCATCACTTTTGACTCTTGTATGATATGTGATTTGTCATAAAGGATAGCAAGCCTTTTCACTAACTACTTCACTAAAAATTTCAGAGTAAACACTGTGATTCTGCAGAGAGACTCAGTAGGCCCTTGTCTTTCCAATGTTTTCTTCTGTTACATGGTGCCTGCCACCTTGAGGGCACTTAGATACTAGAGGCTGGAAAGTTAAATGTTGTTTTGATGTTTATTGAATAACAAGGTTACAGAATATTTGATTTTTGTTGTCAATGTATGGAAGACATTTTTGCATTGATAAATGTTCTCTAGGAATGTGACTACATTCATCAGGTGTGAACTCTTGTAAATGAATTTTGTATCTTGAATCTACGTATATATTAAGTGTATCATCAATATAAAAATAAACATTATTTGCTTAAAGTTTTTGGTACTTCTTCCGAATTGCTGACAACGTAAGTGCTAAACTGTTAGGGTTTGTATCTTTCAGATAAAACCCCAGACACTGTCTTTGGGTTGTGGGTTCGATGCTTATCCTTCTAGTTTGTGAATTTCTTCTGGCTCCTGGTCTTGGTGTTTCCCTGCCCTGCCCCCGGTGGTCAGAACTGGGACACGCGGAGGGAGGCATTGTTTCAGAGGAGGGTGAAGGCTGGCATTGGGGCTGGGGCAAGAAGAGCAATTTCAGTGTGGACCGTCTGGTTTGGTTGGCACTGAGGAGTCCGGACGCCCGACGTAGGCTACTAATTTGCGCTGTAGCTTTAAACGAGGCGGTTTTTCCCCTCTGGACTTTTTTCATATGTCAAAACTTGAAGGACCACTCGTGGATAGTGAAATGAATGTGGTGGGCTGCCGCCAGAGTTTTTAAAAGAAATGCCACATATCGGGAGTGCACTATATAATCAGGCTATGATTCTGGAAACTTTTCTTTCAGTGGGACGTTATGTGTGTCCTGGGTTGCGATATAAAACGTAGAACCTATATGAGGTCGTGGGCACAAGCATTAAACCACTAGTCACGAGGCGCGAAGTCCCAGGACTAGTTCCGGGAGCCACAGACTTCCATGTGAGGAGGGAGGCAGGGACGTGCAGTGATCGCCTGCTACACAGTGACGAGGCGGCTGTGCAGGATGCAGCGGGACGGGGATGCGGGGAGAATGGAAGCTCCCGGCGGGCACAGCGCAACCGCGGCCCGGGGTTTCTATCCACGCGGCACACGAGGGCCCCACGGCACCTACTGGGCTCTTCCCCTTTTGCCATGAGGCTCCTCCCACTTCCCCAGCTCCGCACCGCCTCCTTAAAGACAAGAGGAAGCTAGAAAGGCTTCAGCCACCCAGTCATCCTTCGCGGGTCGGGCCGTTCGCTGACGTGGCAAGCCGGCCTAGGTGAGCGCCCCGTCGGCGCTCGCGCCCCGCAGCCGTCGCGGCCCAACCGCCACCCCGAGGCTCGCGCCGCCGGCCGCAGGAACCGCAAGCGGGCGCATGCGCGCGGCGGACGTGCTCCGCGCGCAGCCACTTCCGGCGCGCTGGTGCAAGTGCGGTTCCGGGTCGCTGCTCCGCTCTCGGCCGGCCGTGGGGGCTGGTGACGCGGGCCGGCACTCACGAGAGGCCCCGGAGGCGGGGCTCTGCCGGCTGCCCAGAGAGCGGCAGGTGCGCGGGTGGGGGCCGGAGACGCGGGCAGGCCCCTCATCCTTCCGGTGGCCTCGGTCTGCCCCGAAAGCGGCCAGGACGGGGTTGCCCAAGACCTAAGGCCGGGGGCGGTCCCGGGAGCTGAAAGGGCTGGGGTGGGGACGGAGGCGGGCTGCCGGCCTGGGAGTCTGGAGCCCTGGGTTCCGGGATTCCCCCCTGCGCGACCTTGGACAAGTCCCTCCTCTTGTCTGGGTCTCAGTTTCCCTGCTGTCAAATGGGAGAGACGTTGGATCTTTCCCTCCTTTGACGGTCCAAGCACGGGCAGGTCTGGAAGGAGCCTGAGTGGGGTCCAGACTGCCGTGGCAGGTACTTGCCTGCCTCCCTGGGCGTCAGGCAGCTGTCTTTTACCCGACCCAGCCATCCTTTCTCTCAGCAACTTTCTTAGTGCGAGTCAAGGCTCTGTGACTAGACAGCCCAGGGTCTGGCCGGGTGAACAAACAATGTGTGACTGTCAGAATCAACTGAGAAATAAATGCTGGCCCTGGGGAACCTTAATCTTGTTCAAGTTGTTTTGCCCAGGGCTCCCAAGTCAAAGTGAGTGTGGGCGCCTACTGCAATGAGAGATTCTAATTTTTGTGTCTGTAACTGCAGCTCTTAGGCAGATCACAAATGCAAAGGAGATCAGGGTGAGGGAAGGTAGCCCACTGAGGATTGTGGCAGTGACAGGTTTTCTTACCTCCTCCCTTAATCCTCCGCCCTTCCTCTTCCACCCCCTCCTCCCGCCCCGCGACACTGCAACATTTTGGCCTTACAGTTGAAAGGAAATATCCGATGCATTTTATCTTTGTCTTCATGCAGGACAGAATGCTTTGATCTCCAAGCTGTTTTAAATCTAGTAGATAAGCCAGGTGAGTAGGTGGTTTACAGTAAAGTTTTTGAAGAATTGTGCAGACTTACATGGGTGATCTGAAGCGGTGAGCCGTCATTTGTAGATCTTAGAGCAGATGCTTAGATATCCTCCACAAAACATGAAAAGTTAAGGTTGGAACCAGAATATTAGTGTTTCATACACCATTGGGAAGAAAAGACGTTTGAATCTCGTGTTGAATATCATTTAAAACATTCTAAACAAAAGAAGCTGATTTGAGGTCATTTTAATCACCCTTAAAGAGAACCACACAGCGTTTCCAGGAAATGTTTGAGGCTATTAGCTTATATAATATAGTTGTCCGTCTTGCCTGTTTTTTTCTAGGTTATCAGCTTTCTCCAATGAACAGCTGATTGCAAACGGTCTTGGAATGTTAGAACATCACACCTTTTCCCCGTATTGAGTTACATGTTTTTATCTTCATTTAAAAAAAAAAAAGACTAACTTGTAGTTAAACTTAGTATTATTGAGGGAAGGATTCAGAAGTGTTAGGTGATGTTAATGTTTGCCCTGGGAAGTTATATGCCATAGCCACCTTGATGTAATAAAAAAAAATAGGGACTTGTGAGTCAGAGTCCTGTGTTCAAATACCAGTCCTGCCACTTCGCCACACAATCTTTGGCGGGTTCTTTCACCTTCTCAAGGTCGGATTTCCTCTTCTGCGTGTGCATATGAAGCACCTGAGTGCTTTTGAAATGTTTAGTAGTTGTGTCCTATTGAGTGTACATGTAAAATTATGAAACTTAATTTTGAAACCCGAAGCTTAACATAGCAACTCAGATGTGAAATCTCTCCGGTGTTTGACTTAGAGCTCTCTTTCACCTGATTTATAGATACCGTGTTGCCGTAAGCCCTTGGCCCACATTAAAGTGGAAATGCAGCTTGCTTGGATGTCTGGAACTTTTTAGGCACCTGTCTCTCAATTCCTGCTTGCTGGCATAAGACGTGCTGTGGTGGTTTAAGAGTTGGTCATCCGTGAAGAATAGCCACGCAGCAAAAATGTTTGCAAAACTAAAGAAGAAAATTGCAGAAGAGACTGCTGTCTCCCAGAGGCCAGGAGGTGCTACTAGGATCCCACGGTCGGTGAGCAAGGAATCGGTTGCCTCCATGGGAGCTGACTCAGGAGATGACTTTGTAAGTATCTTCTAAAGTTTTTAATATTTGGTACAGTCTCAGTACATTTCAAAAATAATATTTCAAGGAATCCTTCCGATAAGCATTCTTTTAAAATTGCAAGATTATTTGTAGTTTATATATGATGATTGTTACTCTGAAGTGCTCCTCTGTTTTTTTTCTTTATTTTTCTGCAAGTCTCTTTCCATATTCTCTGCATTGTCCTCTTGTCCTCTTTTTCCATCTATATACCTTGTGCCTCTTCTTTTACATTTCATTTCTCAAAATGCCTCAGCCCGTTGTCTCTGCAGACAAATATACTTTAAGTCACTGTTGCTTAACAAGGTCTGTGAGTTGTGTGGAGTTAGCCAGAGTGAACTATTTTATTGGGAAAGTTGATGAAAAGATGGCACTGGTGACTGCAGTGTGTCCCTTATTTGTACAGTACCTTTGTAGTGGAAAAGATTTCAAAAGATGAGGATGCTGCCTTGTTAGGTAAATGTCACACATAGGACTAAAAGTGTGTCTTTGGTGGATGACAGGGTCCTTTTAACGTCAGATAACTTTTTAAAAATGATTTATAATACTTTATATATGTACAAGAATGTATGTTATGTGAACTTAAAGTGTAAAGCATAAAAACAAAATGAATACTTAATTTGTCACCTATCAAAAAACTAGAATGTTATTGATATTGTTGAAGTCACCTGTATGCTTCTCCCCAATTCCCGTCCCTCCCTCCCTTCCAGATCACCACTGTCCTAAATTTTGTTTATCATTCCCTTGCTTTTTAGTATATCCTACCAAATATGTATCTACTCATAAACAATTTATTGTTTAATGTTGCTTATTTTTGAACTTCATAAAAATAGTACACTATAGTCTTCTTGGGCTTACTGTTTTTTATTTTTTAATCAACATGTTTCTAGAATGCATCTTTGTTACATGAAGCTGTGGTTCATTTATTTTTACTGCTGTATGAGATTCCAGCATCTGAAAAGGCCACAATTTATCTCTGTCTTCTCCTGGTGACAGACACTTGAATTGTTTCCATGGTCAGATGAGTCTTCCTTCTCCTTTCTTATGCTTCCTGTCCCAGGTCAGATTACCTGGCAGAAGCTATTAGGTTATGGGGGTCGAACAATAAGATTACGAGATCTAAATTATCATTGACTCCTATATTTAACAGGAAATAGAAATGCGCATTTGATCACCAGGCTGAAGGATGTAGCTTTAATGCTGAGTTCTCGGCAGAAGTACCTGCTTTCCCTTCATGCTGACTTGCTAAATGAAGTCTCTCATCTCCAGTGTGTTCCAGATAGATTGGCCTGAATTCAGGAAATGTTTTGCTTTGAGACTTGTAAGATAATCTCTTTGAACCTGCTATATATGTATTCTGATCCTCACTCCCTATCTCCAGGCCCTTATATCCCACTGCATGTATTTCTCTAACCAGATGCCTTTCCTCTGGTATCTCAAATTCTGAAACGAACAAAACTGAGTTCATTAACTCCATTTCCACCTGTGCACCTTCATCCCTCAAGTCACCACCAAGGAGCCCTGGAGTTTTAGACTCTTCCCTCCTTCCCTTCCTGATGTGCAATCAGCCAGCAAGTTTTTCGGCTTCCATCTCCTAAATGTCTCAGACTTTCGCTCTCCACTCTACTTACTAGTAGTACATTTACTTCCATTTTATGTCAGACTGTCTCTCTTTCTTGGACAACTGTGGTAGCCTCTCTGGGTGCCCTGCCTCCAATAACTCCCCAGAACGGATCTGTTCATGTCTCTCCAATGCTTAAAATTGCTCAATGGCCTCCCTCTCATCTTCAGGATGAAGTGCAAACTCGTTATTATAGTATAATGGTAAACTCTGTGTCTTGTCCCCGTTTACCTATCCAGCCTCATCTCATACTCCTTTCCTACACCTTGTGCTCCAGCTCTGTTGAACTTATTGCACTTCCTGGAATGGACAACATTCCTTCATGCCTACAAATGTTTGCATGTGCTGGTTCCTCTCTGGAGTGTCTCCTGTCTCCTCCTTTCACGCTTGCATTCCTCTCACAGACTTTTGTGCGTCCTTAAAGATTCAGCTCACATGTTACTTCCAGGAAGCCCCCTTGACCCAACCTGCCCCTCTCACCCTCTCTACCCGTCATCCCTCCTGGCTGAGTTTGGTCCCTAGTCTCCTACTTACCTCTGTATCAGCACCTGTTACACTGCATTGGTGTTGATGATTTGCTGGTGTGTCTCTCCCACTAAACTAAGAGCTTCATGAAACTCAGGTCAGCTTGTAGATTTGGACCTGGATTTGATTCCCTACTTCATCGTTATTGTGTGACTTTTGGCAAATTCCTTCACTTTTCTATGCCTTAGTTTCCACATCTGTAAAATGGGCATAGGAACTGTACATGTCTTTATTAAAGAATGTGTGTTGGGGGTCCCCAAGGTTCACCCTTAGGTTTGAATATTCACTAGGAGGACTCACAGGACTCAGCATAGTTTTACTCACTGTTGTCATTTATTACAGGGAAAGGATACCAGGCATAACCAGAAAAGGGAAAAGGCGTGGGGGGTAAAGCCTGGAGGAAACCAGGCACAAGCTTCCAAGAGTCCTCTCCTAGCGGAGTTACAGAGGACACACATAATTCCCCCAGCAGTGCATTGTGACAACACATGTGAGACGTCTACCAGGGAAGCTCATTAGAGACGCAGTGCCAGGGATCTTACTGGAGGCTCATCACGTAGGCACCCTCTGCCTGGCATTTCCAAAATTCCAGACTCCCAGAAGCAAAACAGTGTAGGTACTATGAGTCATTCTTATCAGAAATGGTGGGAACCCTTGCAAAATCTAAGTTTCCATAGGCCAGCCTGGGACTAACCTTACTAGCAGGACTTCCCAAGGATAGCAGTCTCAGGCCTGTAATGTTGACTCTTTTCCGCATAGTATATAAAACACTTAGCATAGTTCTTGGCTCTTAACAAGCATTTCATAACTAGCAGTTGCTGCAGCTGCTGCTGTTTTAGGTAGGAACTTTGTATCACCACTATTCCCAGTGCTTAGCACAATGCTGAGAATAGGATGTCTCACTGACAGTAATAGTCATAACTCCTGCTAATAATAGACAAGTTGTATTAAAACTAATTATGTGCCAGGCTCTGTCTTAGGGACTTGGCCAGTATTGATTTATTTAGTCCTCACCGCAGCTCTGTGACATCGATCATGTTTGTTGTCACAGTTTACGTATGGGGAAACCAGTGTACAGAGAAGGTGGCTGATTGGCCCAAGTTCTTAGAGTTTATAACTGGTGAGGATGGGACTTTAACCCAGCCCTTCCGCCTCCAGAGACTCCCTCTTAACTATGCATTCTCCTGAGTCTCCATAAATGCTGGATTGGGCGGGTGGCTGGATGGGTGAATGAGTATTTAGAGTGAATTGTTAACCACCTTTGAAAACATTTGGGGAATGAAATGGGGAAACATGACTAAAGACTGGATATTAGATAATATTTTTAATTTTGTTAGGTTTGATAATGGCATTGTGGTTATAAAGGAAAATGTCCTTATATTTTAGAAATGTTTATCAAAGTATCTAGGATGAAATGTCATGATGTCTGTTGTTTGAAGTACTTTAGTAAAATAAAAATTGATGAAGCAAATATGGGAAGACGTCAGCAATTGTTAAAGTAGATGGAGAATGTTCCTTAAACCGTTCTCCCTACTCTTCTGTATTTTTAAAAATGTTATAGTTGAAAGAACAAAGACAAAGTGAGTTATTGGGGCCGGCCCCATGGCCAAGTGGTTAAGTTCATGCACTCCACTTCAGCAGCCCAGGGTTTGCTGATTCAGATCCTGGGTGTGGATGTACACGTCGCTCATAAAGCCATGCTGTGGCAGTGTCCCACATAAAAGAACTAGAAAGACCTATCACTAGGATATATAACTATGTACTGGGGCTTTGGGGAGGGAAAAAAAAAAGAGAGAAAGATTGGCAACAAATGTCAGCTCAGGGCCAATCTTCTTCACCAAAAAAAAAAAAAAACCTTAAAAAAATAAAGCATTATTTCTTAGCACTAGTAAGCAGTGCCCAAAGTAATAGTAGTACCCATGTGTTTTAAAATATTCTATATTGTTGGGGAAAATTGATATCTCATTAATATGTTGATTTATTGAATGTGTATTATCTGCTGAAGTCTTTGATGCATTTTAGAGCTTTAGATGGGCATCCTTTTGTTTATAGATGAAGATACTGAGACTGTCAATGTCAGTGATAGATTCTTCATCACAGACCAGCCTTTGATTCCTTGCTATAAACCTTCCCCCCTTATCCTTGGACTTTACCTTTGGAAAAATAAAGTGATTTCCTTTTTTATCACTGAAGGTTTATTTTCTGTATTATGTACTTGGTGTAATACAATCATAATGGATTTGTTTACCACCGTTTATTCCAATAGTGTGTATACACACACACATAGTTTATCTGTTTAGCATCTTCTATCTCTTTTACATTATAGATGGAGATAGTGATGCTTCTGCTTTACAGGTAGAGAACTAGGGCCCAGGTACGTTAAGAAGCTTTTCAATGATCACAGTTAATTAAAGTGTAACCAAACCTAAAATAGCATTGTCACTTTCTGGCTCAGTAGTGGGCCTCGTTGCTGAAAACCCATGGATGACTGTGACCTCTCTTGGTGTCTGTCTCAACAGGCCTCCGATGGAAGCAGCTCCAGAGAAGACCTTTCGTCCCAGCTTTTGAGGAGGAACGAACAGATACGGAAATTAGAGGCCAGACTTTCTGGTATGTCCAAGAACTCATAAAGGGACACAGAGGAAACTCGCCTTGCCTGACCCTCTCTCCCTATAACACAGCCATGTAGCGTAACCTTATAGTTGTTTTGACATCGTTTGATCTTCTTAGTCAAAAAGGAGCAATCTGTATCCCCTTTGTTCGCCTCTTTTGTTAGTGTACTCAATAGTGTAAATTCGAAACTGAGTTTTAAAGTTAAAAAAAAATACATATGTTTTTCTGCTCCTGAGGTTTCTAGTCATGGATATGAAAGGTATTAAAAGTATATGTAGAATAGATCTGACCATCTTTCACCCGTTATCATAGCTTGCTTTCAGGCCAAGAGGGGTAGGGGACAGTATTTACAGGGAGTGGCCCATAGATGTTGGATTCTTCAGCACCAGAGAGGGTTTGGTGCTACATTGCCACTTGCTCCAGCTACATATCACCTGTGTAAGTATCATTCTGGGTCTTTGGGCCACTTTTCAGTGATATTTCCAGCTCAAAACCTGTATAAAAGCTGTAAGGCTCATTATGTCTTTGGTGTGCAGTTATAATTCACACACCTCCCGTTATGTCCTTTGCCTGAGCAGGGCATGTTTGCCACAGAGTTGTGAGTGCTTATTTTGGTGTCTGCCGGTGGATACATTTTGAAAGCTTCATCTTGTGAAGTGGTCAATGACTTCTATGTTTCTTTTTGTCCCTTGGCTTTATGCCCATTTTATTGGAGTAAAAGCAGTAAACTAAAAAATTCACCAAATTGTATGTGAAATTTTTGTGTTCGTGTAGTTACCAAAGGTCCATAGTGTAGGTCACAGCGACCTGTTAGTCCATTATTCATTCTCTCCTCACTAGAGCCTCATTTATAGCGAGGTTAAGGTCACACAAGTAGTAGGTGGTAGAGCTGGGATCCAAACCCAGATTTGCTTGATGCTCGAGTCCATACTCTTAACTGAAGTCTACTTTAAACTCTGTTGTTACTATCCCGCTACCCCTACCTGTAAATAGTCTCATTAACAGAGGTGAAATAACTTTTTGTGTTTCTTTAATATTGAGGAGAAAACTATAAAATAATATATAGCTTCACTAATACAGAAGGAAGGGTAGTTTGGGCTTGATTTAGAGAAGGGACAGGGAGGAGAACTGACGTTTACTGATCCTACTTCTGTCCTGAGTGTTGCTGCAGGCTCAGGGTGAACAACGACAATGGCAGCTACCTTTCTCGAGCTCTCTGTGCCATTTGCTTAAGGCACATAAAACACCCAGCTCATTAACTAATTACGGCGTATAAAACACAGTTTATCTAGTGCATCCTTTGAAGTAGGTACCGTTAGTCATCATTTGATAAATGAAGAAACTAATACTTAGGATCAAGAATTTGCGTAATGTCTCCCAGCTAAAAAGTGACAGAGTTGGGATTTGAACTAAAGCCTGTCTCCTTTTCCGCTATACCATACTATCTTCTTTGGCCACCTAGGTAATTAATTCTGACTTTCACTTTTAATATGGCATAGGCAGCTCAGTTCTTATGTAGAAAGGAAGCTGACTGTTCTAGAGAATGAAGTACTTTCCTGGTAAAGGCGATGCTGTGGTAAGGTGTTTGCTATTGCCCTATCCACTGTTACTCAGGTGAATGGACTGTAAGTGAGCTGTTGAGTGAGCTCCCTCTGATCTCTCCTACTGCTGAGACTGGAAGGGGACGTGAGAACTGAGATTTGAAATTAAGTCCTGAGGTAGTACTGGTTTTCATAGCAGGACATTGCTGATGGTCAGACCGGGTCGAATTGTTCTCTATGAAGGCTAAACAAACCTGCCTGTTTGTATTCACCATGTACACTGTGGTTGGTTTGTACTATACTTGTTTGCCTGTGTTGTTCATTGTTAATGGGAGGCTGTCTGCCTAGCTTTCCTTAACAGGAATGGTTTTCAGGTTGAGAAAATCGTCATCATTTTCACTCATTTTTTTGTTGAATTAACTTCCTTTCCTGATGTTTGTCCATTCCTGGTATGTGCGTCACCCTCCTCACCCAAGACTATGCTGAACAGGTCCGAAACTTGCAGAAGATAAAAGAGAAGCTTGAAATTGCGTTAGAAAAACACCAGGATTGTACGTATTTTTTTCCTGCTTTTTTTCAATCTTTTCAGGGTTTAGTTTTTTAAAATGAAACAATGGCGTATGGTTAAATTTGTCCTTTGTCGTAGCTCAAATCTTTATTTTATAAGTAGTATACTTCTTAATCAGGTTGCTATAACATTTGTCTGATATTTATAAACATGCAGCTCATCTTTATGTTGCCTATGGGCATTCTTAGGAGAAGGTCGTTATATGTATCCGCTTGTCTTCATCCAGTTGACCAGTTTTTTGGCTGCCCTGAGATTTTGGTAAAATCTAGTACCCAGCCCTTGGGCCTAGATCATGAGACTTTGATTCTAGCTATGGCTTCATTGCTGCTCTGTTCAGTAACTGGGGGAAATCTCTGTCATCACTCCTCCAACAATAGAACATGTATTTTGTTTAGTCTACCCTAAATCATATGTTCTCCTTTGGGTTCAATCTGAGAAAGATGCTAACGGTAGTAGAAAGTTATTTTTTCTTGATATAATATATGCTAAAAAAATTATTTAAGGAAAACAAAGTGAAAGAAAGATTTTTTTTGTTTTGATTTATTTATTTTTTAATTCTGATAAAGTGGTGAATAAGGGGCATGATCTATTTTCCCCCACTTATACCAGATGGCAGTAGCCATCACTTAGCAACAGCATTGATGTCTTCTGGCGACCTTCCTAACTCAGCGTTTTATCATTGTTCCATTTAAAAAGTTACCTTTTGGCATCTTCCTAAATGTATATTCTTGACTATTACCAAAAAACAAAAACAACAGGAAACAAACAAAAAACTGTGGTCTATTACTAAGGCCAACAGATTCTGTGGAAGTCGAGATGGATCTGATTTTTCCCAGTCTCATAATCCACTTATGTGACCTTGACCTTTTTTGTTAGGTGACAGTTATAAAGTAATTACGTGGGCTATTTGTCATGCTGTTTCTGAAATATTTCCACATCTCAAATAGAGCCTCTTTGTTAACAGCTTCCATGCGGAAATTTCAAGAGCAGAATGAGACATTCCAAGCCAACAGAGCCAAAATGGCAGAAGGACTGGCTTTGGCATTAGCCAGAAAGGACCAGGTATTTTATATGTGGCACTGCCCAAGACTGGTGGAAAGATTTCACTTAGTGACATGACTTCAAAAATCATGACATAAACTTAGTAGAAAATATTTACAACCTAGGAGAAAAGGAATGATGTATCAGTTGCTAGAGACTTCATTTGGCCTTAGGGTGGGAAATTATCAAGAAACTTTACAGTTATAGTCATGAAATGTGTCCAGAATGTAAGAGTAGCTTTGTAAAATGGAGAGGGGAACTAGTGTGTCCGTAATGTGGTGGCGAGTCCCAAGTAAGGAAAAGGTTCTCTGCCCTCTAAAAACCCGTCTCAAAGCCTAGTCCCAACACGCTTGCCTTTTATAGTGGAGAAGATGCTGTCAAACTGGCCAGCACCCATGATGTACATAGTTCTGTTCTAAGTTTTTTCAACTGCAGCTAGCTAGACATAGGGGAACTCCTATAATCTCGATAGTACCATCCATTGAAAGATGCTGAATGAATGACAATAAGAAAGAAAAATGATACTTTTACTGGCAGTTACAATAATTATGAAGTATATTTTATTCAATGACATTTTAAATTTAAGGTAAGCATCAAGATGCTACAATGGCAATCTTGATTTATTAAGACAGGGTCAGTTTATTATATTACATTTCATTTAAGAAAATGCATAGTTTATTTCATCCACAGTAGATGAGGTAGTTGGTTGACCTGTTTTACAAAGTAAATTAGTCAGCTGGGATATTTACTGGCCAGGAAGAAACTCATTCACCAATACTTAGTGGATAACTATGGTATGAGTGTATCTGAATGAAGAAATAACCTAAAATTAATGGATTCTGATTGTAGGCAAGTGGGATATGGCCTTGGCCTTTTGAACCAATGGTTATTTTTTCCCCTGTTCTGTGATTTGTGAATAAGGGGCATGATGCCTTTTCCTCTAACTTCTGCCAAATTGCAGAAAGGATATTGTTAAAATGAGAAGGAAAATAATTATCATGGGCTTTGGAGCCCCCCCTTTCAGTAAATTAATTTCTGAACATCAATTGCAGAGTTATCAACTTGGCTGGTCCCGACTGCCCACTCGCAGGAAAAAAATAATAGTACTCATGGAAAAGCCCTCAGGAATGGGCTGAAAAGCTGCATCAGAACAGCAGATACAGCTTAGTAAAAGTCTGCAGGCTTATATTTGTGTTCTAGAATTTTATGTTAAGTTCACTTTCTTCTTCTTTTAGGACTCTTGTCTTTCTTAATATTAGGCCAACTTTATGGGATTTTTTAATTTGCTGTTTTGGTTGGTTGATTTGTTGGTTGCTTTTGGGGGGGAGTTAGATTGTTTTGTTTTTGGAAAATCTTGGTATTACTGATACTCTCCCTGGAAACTGTACTTTTTATTATTTTGTTTTAGGAATGGTCAGAAAAAATGGATCAGCTTGAAAAGGTTAGTTCATCTTTATTTTTATCTCCTTATCAATGTTGGCCTCTTCTCAGGGGCTCAGAAAATGGTTTCTCCAGTACCCAGTGTGTTGATTGCTGTGCCCTCTCTTGGAAGCAGGACACTGGATGATTAGACAGTGACTTGAAAAGCTCGTGTCTTCCCCTTTCTTGGTGGGCGTGCTGGGTATCTTTTGTTTGCCCTTCATGATGTACTCTCAGCCCCTCTCTTCCCTTTCTCTGGGTGCCTGAAGGCTGACAGGGACTGCATCAGCAGGGCTCCACGGCCCTCCGGCTTCTGATTGGCTTCCACCAGTGAGGACACCCAAAGAACTATATGTGGAAGAGTGTGTTTGGGATGTTTATTCATCTTGATGTGGGATCCCTTCCATTTAGTTGCGTCCCATGGCTAAAGGTCACAGCTTCAGTTGGACCTTTGGTTTGCTCTCTGACATAGTTTCTGTCCCTGGGTTTCTTGTAACCTCTTCATCCCTTTGTCCCTTCCTGTTCAACTGTTACTAGCAAATTATCTCTTTTAGGTTTTCTTACCCCACCCACAGCTTTAAAAAGTCTCTGTTAAACTCTGCTCAAAATGCCTAAATTGAGTCTGTATCCTGCTAGGGCCCTGATTGACACGGTAGTAACGTCAGGAATACTCTTTGAGGAGGCAGTGGGGAAGGAGAGCAGTCCTCAAGGCTCAGCACTGAGCAGATAAGAGGGCCTCTTGACTAGACACAGAGGAGGAGCGTTGATTATTCTAGTTCCATAGCTTGTGTGGCACTGTGTAGGTGCCTTATGCAATATGATTCTGGCTCCTAGACATGAACAGGAAGATGGAATTTCAAGCCTACAAGTAGAAAAACATTTTAATTGAAAATAATCAATAGTCAGCTACTTCAGCCTGAATTATATGCTTACTACTCCTAAATTACCCTTTATGGTAGAAAAATTATTTCTTAGATTGATATATTCAGTTGCAAAATATATTTACTGTTAATTTTATTAAACAGATGAGTTTTATTATTGCTCCATTCTTGTAGTAAAACACCAAGTTAAACTAGCATTTTTCTTTGTGTATTCTGTAGAAATCTGATTATCAAGCTATCAGAATACTGTAACATGTTTATGTAAGGAAAGAATTAGAGAAAAGTCAAGCTATCTCCCAAAGAAACTTTTGCTTTAAAAAAAAAATCTTTAGGGGCTGGCCCAGTGGCGCAGCGGTTAGGTGTGCACGTTCTGCTTCAGCAGCCTGGGGTTTGCGGGTTTGGATCCCTGGTGCGGAAATGGTGCCACTTGGCAAGCCATGCTGTGGTAGGCGTCCCACATATAAAGTAGAGGAAGATAGGCACAGATGTGCGCTGAGGGCCAGTCTTCCTCAGCAAAAAGAGGAGGATTGGCAGCAGATGTTAGCTCAGAGCTAATCTTCCTTAAAAAAAAAAATCTTTAAACATGTGGTGTTGATGATGTTCTTCTTAAATATGGAGGTATGGGTTAGGTTAAAGTTTTCTTGTCTTAGAGGAAACTCTTAAGATTGTAGCTGGGGCCGGCCCTGTGGCCGAGTGGTTAAGTTCATGCACTCCACTTTGGTGACCTAGGGTTTCACCAGTTTGGATCCTGTGCACAGACATGGCACCGCTCGTCAGGCCATGCTGAGGCAGCATCCCACATGCTACAACCAGAAGGACCCACAACTAAAACAATATATATATACAACTGTATACTGGGGGGATTTGGAGAGGAAAAAAAAAAGAAAGAAAAAAAGATTGTAGCAGTTGAAATTCTCATTTATCTATTTTTTTATCTTTTAGAATTATGGTAAAGCAGGGCTGTCCCTATGACGTAGTGGTTAAGTTCACATGCTCTGCTTCAGGGTTCACAGGTTTGGATCCTGGGTGCAGACCTACACACCACTCATCAAGCCAAGCTGTGGGGACATTCCACATACAAAATAGAGGAGGACTGGCACAGATGTTAGCTCAGCGACAATCTCCCTCAGCAAAAACAGGAAGATTGGCAACAGATGTTCACTCAGGGCCAGTCTTCCTCACCAAAAAGATAAAATAAAATTATGGTAAAGGGAGATCCATATAGAACAAAACCAAATAAAACTCACTTGAGTTCACCAAGGGGATTTTCTCTGTTTTTTTTTTTCCACTCAAAGGAGGGGTTGGAAGATATTTTAGACTGGAAAAGAGTGATGAGACATCTATGTAGGTCTTTGAAGCCACTGTGATTTTCGGAAGTGTTATTTTTAGGCTCTTTTAATTTCTTTTCAATCAAGAATTGGAAACTGCAACAGCAGAGTTTGCCTTTAAGAGAATGCGTCTTGGGAAGCTATCGTTGAGTAAATTATAACCTGCTAACACAAGTCATGTCTAATTTTCCTTGACTTGCTGACAGTTGCTAACTGAAGCAAGTTCTACTTAAATGTGTCTAATTTTCAAAGGGTATTTGGTCTTCCTCCAGTTATTCTTGTTATTCAGCCAGTTCAGTATGGTGCTGAGAATAGACGTGTAAAATGGATATCTGAAATTGCTGATCAAACTTCAGAACTTTAAAGTGTTAAGTAATTGTTCCCCTTGTTCCCCTTATTCACAACTATGATTTAAAACATGTGTACTTTTAACTTAAAGAATTTGTAGGTAATTGTGTAAATAATTACCGTAAAGCTTTCCATTATCAAAGTATTATTGTCTGCTGATAAGAGATTTCCTTAAAATTTTCTTTTATTAAGAATTCTGCTCACATAACATGGATTTCTAATGTCCTAGTTGCCTGAGTTGATATCCTCTTCTTCCACATAGGAGAAAAGGTTTCTGACAGCTCAGTTACAGGAAATGAAGAGCCAGAGTTTGAATCTTTTCCAAAGGAGAGATGAAATGGATGAATTAGAGGGCTTCCAGCAGCAGGAACTGAGTAAAGTAAAGCACATGGTGCGCATTTTTGTTTCCGTAGCTAAATCCTGAAGAGATGAGTAATGACTCTGATTTTGCTAGTCATCACTAATTGTTGATAAACACACCTTAGCACTCTTTGATATTAATCATATTTGTGTGTTTTTCAATTTATTAAAATGGAAAAGTGCTGTTTGAAATCTATTTCCTTTTTCTTTCTTTTTAAACTGCTAAGCACATAAGCTCCCCTGTAAGCTCACAAAAATGTTATAAAAGTTTGGCTTATTGGTCTAGACACCTTTTTTAAGTGTATGTCTTAGTAGTGGCCTAGTGAAACTTTGTATCTTTGTATCAGCTTTTAAAGAAAGAAGAAAGTCTGGGGAAAATGGAGCAAGAGTTGGAGGCGCGAACCAGAGAACTTAGTTGCACCCAGGAGGAGTTGATGACCTCCAGTCGGATGTCATCGGACTTAAGCCGGAAGCTGGAGGAGCTGCAGAGACGCTGCTCGACGCTGGAAGAGCAGAGGTCCTTCTTGGTCTGTGGGGCCGTGGGAAGGGGTGTTAGTGTAGCTCTGGCTGCAGCCCACCCGCCTTTCCCCACTGCTCATCGCAGCGCTTTCTGATCTCACTTCTGCCAAAGGCTTCTGGACTTGTCCTTACCTACCTAGGGCGCCAGACCCTCTAACCCCCAAACCCTCGTGCCCCTTCACCTGCCTAGGCTCAGAACCCCTCCACCCTGCCAAGCAATCACTATCTTTCAGTTCCTAAGCTGCTGAGGAACCAAAGGCAGATCAGGACTTCTTGCTTAAACCTGGGTGGAATTTTTCTTCTTTGACCTTCCTCTTTAGAGAGAGCCAAGGAGTCTTCCCCATTGATAATCTTCACGTGGCTAATGTTTACAGCCCTTACATATACAGAACCATCTGTATTTTACCTGTGGAAGAATGTCTTAGGTGAGATATCCAAATGTGTTCATTGTCTCCTTTCTTTCAATGAAGAGATCATGTGACAGCTTCAAAAACAGGTGCAGAAAATAAGATCACAGCCCTGGAGCAAAAGGAACAAGAGCTCCAAGCATTCATTCAGCAGCTTTCTGTTGATTTGCAAAAGGTAAGTAGAGTACTAGAAGCGGAGCCAGGTTCCTGGGATTCATGAATGGGGTAAAAACTAATTCTGTCGGAAATTTCCGCCTCAGGATGGCTGGTGAAATTTCTGTTTCTCATGCAGTCCACATTGCCTTAGTCCCTGGTCTAGCCAGGCTGCATTCACATGGAAGTAGCCATGCAACGGAACAAGGGTTGCTTAGCAGAAGAGGTCAGTATTGTCCTGAGAGGAATTCTCAAACGACACCATCAGATATGTCTTAAAGTACCACATGATGGACTTCGAGCATGAGAAAACGTTAACCATCATAGTTGACGTGGCCAGGGTTGTCCCTTTGACATCCCTGGTTCTAATCCAGTTTGCTCTAAAGCGCATAAATGATTTCATTACAATTCTTTTTTGTTATTGTTTCTCCAGCATACATTTATTGCCCTCCTACTCTAGGCTTGTGCTAAATTCCGAGACTATAAAGATGACCAATAATAATATTTTTATTGACTGTAGTATTTCTCAATGATATGTTTCTTTCACCATTTTGACCAGAACAGTTTGTATTGTATGATTGCCCCTTGCATTATGGGACATTTAGCTTTCCTGGCCCCTGGGTTCTGAACACCAGCAGCATCCTTCAGGCATTGACAGTCCAACCCTTCCCCTCATATGACAAAACACTCCCCAGCAGGTGGTGCCACAAACCCTCCCCTCATCCCTTGAGAACCACTAATCTCAAGTGTAACAGAGACTTAACAGCATCATTACAGGACAGAAAGATTTGTGTAAACAGAAGTCTGTATATCCCTTCTGGCTAACTATTAGCATACTTAGAGGTACCTAAGTGGAACTAAGAGAGGTTACATACCTTGTTCAAAGTTATACAGTAGTGACACAGCTGGAGTCTAATCCAAGTCTTACTCCAAAACTTATGCTTGTTCTACTGGGCTTTGCTGCCGCACAGCAAGGAGCACCCAGTAAATAGATCTTACGTGAATGAATGACTGTGATGCAAGATCTCTACCCTCAGTGAACTGAAAATATAGGCACATATATTGTTTTTTCTCAGAGGTTTACAGTTTCATTGTAGAACTTAAACATGTGGCCACAAGAAAAATAATTCACAACTCAACAAGTCCCAAATAAGTGAAATAAATCTTTCAAATGCCAAAGATATGCCATAGGCAGAATGCATTTCCAGCACAGCTGTCAAGAAACTCTTCCTGGTAGAGCTGGAATTTCAAAGACGAGTAGCATAGCAGAAGGCAGAGAAGGCAGAAGGGTGCAGAATACATTTGGGGAGTGGGGTTAGAGGGGATAACAGACACAAAACTTTGGGATTCAAGGGACCCTTGATAGCAGTTAGACCATTCATCCATTTTATAATTGGAAAAACTAATTTTCCAGACACTAAGTTCCCTCATTCATTCTAAAAATAAGATTTGCGTTTTACTATGTGCCAGGCTCTGCTCTCTGCTGGGCGTTAGAAGTACTATGATTAGCAAAACAGATACCACCTTTGCTTTTGTGGAACTTACAGTGCAGAGAGGAAGTCAGACAGTAATCAATAATCACATAATCATATAATTAAAGCTGTGACGCGTGCTATGAGGGAAGACTACAGAATGCTGTGCGATCCTACAAGAGGGCATCAAATCAGCTCTAGCCTCGAAGTCATAGAACGCTCCCCTTGAGGAAGTAACTCGAGCTGAGGTGGACTGCTGAGGCTGCAGGGGAAAGGACGATGGGAGAGAATTTCAAGCAGGAAACAGCAAAAATAATAAACCTAGACACTCTGAGGCTGTAAAAGGATTAGCACATCCAAGGAACTGGAAGAAGGCTGGAAGGGTGACACACAGAGTAAGAGGGATTACTCTGGCTCTTAGGAGGAAACATCGAAAAGGTTTCCAGTTCGGAAGCTCTTACAGTTGTCCAGGCGTGAGATGGTGGCTTTGACAAGAGTGTTAGTGAAGATAGTGGGGGAGTAGACAGATTTAAGAAATGATGACGAGATTGACCCACTGTCCAATGTAATAAACATAGGAGGCGAGCAAGAGAGAAGAAGGGCTTAGGAATGATTTGCGGGTTTCTGGCTTAAGCACCTGAGTGGCTGAGACTGTCAGTATCAGGCTAAGAGAGCGCTAGAGGAAGGGCAGTTTTTTGTTTTTGTTTTGTTTTTAAGGAAGATTAGCCCTGAGTTAACATCTGCTGCCAATCCTCCTCTTTTTGCTGAGGAAGGCTGGCCCTGAGCTAACATCCATGCCCATTTTCCTCTACTTTATATATGGGATGCCTGCAACAGCGTGGCTTGTCCGCACCCAGGATCCGAACTGGCGAACCCCAGGCCACCGAAGCGGAACGTGCAAACGTAACCGCTGCACCACCAGGCCGGCCCAGGAAGGGTAGTTTTGTGATTAAGTTAAATAGAGGATATAACAAGGCAATGAAGCCCCAAGTAGCTACCACCTAAGTTAAGAAAAAGAACAGTACGTTTATTGTTGAGGTTCCTTCCTGGTGTGCCTTTCATTATTCCAGCCCGTTCCTTTTTCCTTCAGAAGTAAGCACTATCCAGAAATTGTTCCATTTCCTTGCTTTGCTTTATCATCTTACCGTATTTTATCCGTAAACGGTATCTTCTTTCATTTCTCCTGCGTGTTAACATTATATAAATGAAATCGTGCTGTAGGTATTCTAAAACTAACTTTTTGTGCTCAACATTGTATTCCTGGAGACCGTTCATGTGGACCCATGCAGCTATAATTTATTCTTTTCTCGTTGGTATAGTATGAAGATCCTAGAATTTATTTATCTATTCTGTTGACAGTGGACATTAGGGTGTTTCTGGTCTTTCACAAGCAAGGCTGCTGTGAACTTTCATCTGCCTGTGCAAGAATATATTTGAGATGTGAAAAGGATGGTTGAAAAGATTTGTACTTTTTCAGCTTTACTAGATAATGCCCAATTGTTTTCCCCTGGTAGTTGTAGTAATTTACATACTCTCACCAGCAGTGTACAAGATTTTGGCTTGTTCTGTTTCCTTGCCAATATGGGATATTCTCAAACTTTTAATTTTTGCCAGTCTGGTGAGTGTGAAATATTATCTCATAGTGATTTTAATTTGCTTTGCTAATGAAGTTCAGCACCTTTTCGTATGTTTATCAGTTGTTCATGCTCTCCCGTGAAGTGCTGGTTCAAATCTTTTGCTCATTCTCTGTTGCGTTTTCTGTCTTTTCTCTTTAGTTATAGTTGTTGATATATGTCCTGGCTGCCACACTCCTTTGTCAGTTATATAGGTTGCAAATGTCTTCTAGTTTTGGGTTTGTCTTCCCACTCTTTTTTTTTTTTTTAAAGATTTTATTTTTCCGTTTTCTCCCAAAGCCCCCAAGTACATAGTTGTGTGTTTTTAGTTGTGGGTCCTTCTGGTTGTGGCATGTGGGACGCTGCCTCAGCGTGGCTTGATGAGCGGTGCCATGTCCGTGCCCAGGATTCAAACTGGTGAAACCCTGTGCCGCTGCAGCGGAGTGCGCGAACTCAACCACTCGGCCACAGGGCCGGCGCCGTGTCTTCCCACTCTTTACGGTCTCTTCTGATGAACGTATGCTTTTAATTTTATTACAGTTGAATTTATTGTTTTCCTTTAAGTTTATGCTTTTGTATTTTTTAAGAAATCTTTCCTTACTCAGAATCATAATGTTATTCTCATATATGTATTATTATCTGAAAGTTTTATATTCAAGTCTTTTATGTGCCTTTTATATTCGTCTTTTATTTGCCTTTTATATTCAAGTCTTTAATATGCCTAACATGTGATTTTGGTGTGAGAAAAGGACCTTTATTCTTTTTTTTTTAATTGTGTTGGTACCATGTATTGAGAAATCTCTTGTCTTCTCACTGATCTGCAGTGCCAGCTTTGTCTCAATTCAGTTTTCCAAATGCATGTGGAACCACTCCTGTACTTTGGGGTGTATGCCACTGTGGTATTTGCATAATACTATACATCGCCTCACTAGCTGTGGTATTCAGATAAGTCTTGGTGTCTGGTAAGCCAAGTCTCCCCACCTACTTTTTTTAGGAGTATTTTGAATATTCTTGGCCTGTTGCTCTTCCACAGAATAGTTTGACAAACTCCTTAAAAAACCTGTGGGATATTGATTGGAATTGCATTGAATCTGTAGATGCATTTGGGGAGCAGTGATTACTTTATGATGTGAATTTTCTTATCCAAGAACGTGGTCGGTCTCCCCAGATATTCAGTGCTGCTGTTTTGTTTTGTTTGTTTGTTTTTTCCTTTTTCTCCCCAAAGCCCCCCCGGTACATAGTTGTATATTCTTTGTTGTGGGTCCTTCTAGTTGTGGCATGTGGGACGCTGCCTCAGCGTGGTTTGATGAGCAGTGCCACGTCCGCGCCCAGGATTCGAACCAACGAAACACTGGGCCACCTGCAGCGGAGCGCGCGAACTTAACCTCTCGGCCACGGGGCCAGCCCCTGTTTGTTTGTTTGTTTTTTTTAGATGGCTTTCCAGAAGGTTCTGTAGTTTTCTCCGTAAAAGTTTATCTGTTGTTGAATTTATTCCTAGGTGCTTTATTTTTTTATACCAGTTCTAAATTGTGTCATTTTAAAAATGACTTTTTCTATTCATTGCTGGCATATGGAAATATTATTTTTGTGTATTAATTTCTTTGCACACCTTTTGTTAAGCTTAACAATGAATCTCTAGGGTCTTTGAGTTTCCTTAATAGCAGTCATATCATCTGTAAATGAAGACAGCTTTGTTTCTTTCTTTCCAATTCTTACACTTTTTTTTCTTTGCCTTATTCTGTTGGGTTGTTTGTTTTCTTATTGCTGAGGGTTTTTTTCTTTATTGTTGAGTTTTAAGAGTTTCTTTTATATTTTAGAGAACAGTCCTTTATCAGACATCTCTTTTGCAGATTTTTCTTCCAGTCTGGCTTTTCTTCTCATTCTCTTGACATTGTCCTAAGCAGAGCAGAAGTTTCTAATTTTGTTGAAGTCCGGCTTATCAATTATTTCTTTCATGGTTCATGCCTTTGGTGGTGTATTTAATAAGTTGCTGCCATACCCAAGGTCATCTAGGTTTTCTCCTGTTTTATCTTACAGGAGTTTCATAGTTTTGAGTTTTACATTTAAGTCTGTGATCCATTTTGAGTTCATTTTTATGAAGGATGTAAGGTCTGTGTCTCCATTCACTTTTTTACATATGGATGTCCAGTTGTTCCAGCACCATTTGTTGAAGAGGCTATCTTTGCTCCATTGTATTGCCTTTGTTCCTTTGTCAAAGATCAGTTGACTATATTTATGAGAGCCTATTTCTGGGCTCTCTATTCAGTTCCATTGATCTGTTTGTCTGTTTTTTTGTCAGTACCATACTGTCTTTTTTTGGTTTTTTTAAAGATTTTATTTTTTTCCTTTTTCTCCCCAAAGCCCCCCCGGTACACAGTTGTATATTCTTCATTGTGGGTCCTTCTAGTTGTGGCATGTGGGACGCCGCCTCAGCGTGGTTTGACGAGCAGTGCCATGTCCGCGCCCAGGATTCGAACCAACGAAACACTGGGCTGCCTGGAGTGGAGCGCGCAAACTTAACCACTCGGCCACGGGGCCAGCCCCAGTACCATACTGTCTTGATTACTGTAACTTTATAGTAAGTCTTGAAGCCAAATAGCATCAGTCCTCCGACTTTGTTCTTCTTCAATATTGTGTTGGCTATTCTGGGTCTTTTGCCTCTCCATATAAACTTTAGAATCAGTTTGTTGATATCCATAAAATAATTTGCTGGGATTTTGTCTGGGATTGCTTTGAATCTATAGATCAAGTTGGGAAGAACTGACGTCTTGACAGTACTGAGTTTTCCTATCTGTAAACATGGAATATCTCTCCATTTATTTAGTTTTTAAAAATTTCATTCATCAGAGTTTTGTAGTTTTCTTCATATAGATCTTGGACCTATTTTGTTAGATTTATACCCAAGTTTTTCATTTTTGAGGGTCTTAAAATAAATGGTATTGTGTTTTTTAATTTCAAATTCCACTTGTTGGTTGTTGGTATATAGGAAAGCAATTGACTTTTGTATATTAACCTTGTATCCTGCAACCTTGCAATAATCACTTATTAGTTCTGGGAGGTTTTTTGTTAATTCATTTGGATTTTCTAAGTAGACAATCATGTCATTTGAAAAAAAGACAATTTTATGTTTTCCTTCCCAATCTGTATACCTTTCATTTCCTTTTCTTGCCTTATTGCCTTAGCCAGGACTTCCAGTACAATGTCAAAAAGGAGTGGTGAAAGGGGACATCCTGCCTTGTACCTGACCTTAGTGGGAAAGCTTTGATTTTCCTCACCATTAAGTACGGTGTTAGCTATAGCACCTTAGGTGCTAAGGGCCTCCAGTAAAACAGCCAAAGTGAAGAGGAGGGCTCCATGTGGGATATGGTGCACAAGAAAACTACATGGAAATTGGTGACTGATTCTTCTTCTGTCCCTAACTCTGTCTAACACAGTGACTTGTATAGGACTTGGTTGTTCTTTTGGTTTTCACTGGAACGGGTCACCTGTATCTCTCAAGTTCAGGTGATAAGTACAGGCTTTAGATCTAGAAGACCTGGGTTTGAATCCTTAATCTGTCACTAAGGTGTGTGCCTTTGGGCTAATCCCTAAACCTCAGTTTCCTTATGCATGGACACAGTGAAGGGTGGTTGTGAGGACTAGAGATAATGGGAAGTGCTTGCACATGCCCTGGACACTATAGCTGCTGCTGCCACCGCCCTGTGTGGTTATAGTTATTACTATTGCTATTATTAATGTTATTAGTAAGAGACCCATAAAGATGGGCCAACATAGCCAAAACTGTTTTTCTTTCCTATCAAACGCCCTCGCCCTCCTGTGTTTTTGCCCCGAATAATGTTATTCATCCAGGGTCTGAGCCACAGACTTGGGAGTTGTCTTCACCCTGCCCCCGGTCATGCTGAACTTGTCTGTTCTTCCTTTGCATGTGCTGCCCTTTACCGGAGTGCTGCTTCCTCTCCAACCCCTTCCCCCCGGGCTTGTATAGGAGCCTGCTTAGGAGGCCTGATCTGATTGCCCCGAACAGTTAGTGCCTCCTGCCTCTGAGATCTCATAGCACCTTGTGTGTCCCTCTGTTGCAGCATGATTTTGTTGTTTTATAATTAAGCTTGTGTATCTCCACCACCAGCCTCCATGCTTCTGTGAGTCAGGCACTGTGTCTGATTGTATCCCCAGAAGACAACACAGAGTATAGGCTTGATAAAGTTTTGTTGAATTATGGGATCCTGAATCCATTCTGCAAACTTCCCCCCCACTACTTATGTTGTCATCCCTGTGAGGATTCAGAACGGCAAATGCTTCTTCCCAAAACCCGAGGCCCAAGTTGCTACATCTTAATCTGAGGAGATTGGCTGGGTTACAAGCTAAGCATGAACGTCTGTGGCTTGAGATGGAGTGACAGAAGCATAAGGTGAGGGCATCTGAGGAAGCAGAGTATATGTGAGGAGACTCAAATCTTCACAGTGAGATGTTGCTGCTCTATGACCTTTTTTGGAGAGGAGAAGGGACGTCCTCAGGGGATACAAGGACCACTAGGGATATAAGAACTTATATGTTCAAAGCTTCCTGGATCCTCTACTTGGACATTGAGCAGCATTTGAAGATTCGGAATAGTGAAAGGAATAAAGTTAACCCAACTCACCACTACCACCGCTGCTAAAGAGACAGACTGAAATAAATAAGTGGGCAGCTGTTGGTCTGGGCCAAGGTGTGAGGTGCCCAGCAGCTCTACTGTGTTCCCTGTGCTGTGAGCCAGGGTAAATATCATTCATTTCAGAAGTTCTCTCTTGTGCCTTAAGGCGCTACAGTGGCACCATTACTGCTCCATCCAGCCTCATGTTTCGAGAAGCACTGTTCTTAGATGATTGTAGGGCTGGCTGGGGGCTTCTTGAGTGGGACAGCCTCTGCTGGTTTTTGGCATCTGGGGTAAAGATGTCGCTCCTGTTGGACTCTGGATTAGTAGGATTAAACGTATGCTCGATGAGAGTGGGAGGAGGAGTATTCCTTTGGCTCGTAGATCATGACAGTACCATCTGGTTATTTTCAAGAGGAGGAGCATCTTCCCTGGCTCCTGGCTAGATTCCACAGAGGGAGCAACAGTGTCCTTCCCAGATTTTCAGTTGCTTAAATTGGGGTGAGCGTTTGCCTCTTGCTGCACTGGGTCTGAACTGGATACCTGAGTGATGTTGAGGTCTGGTCTTGTATCTTCTATGTCCCGTTTTCAGGGAAGATTTCCCAGCTGTGTGTTCTTCTAGGATGCAGTTGAGAACAGAATTTCAAAGAATGGTGATGGTCCTAGAGGAGACAGGAAGGAAGGGAGAGGGGTTTATAGTGTAACGGAATCTCTGCTTTCACCTGCAGGTCACTGCTGAAACTCAAGAGAAAGAAAAACTCATCACACATTTGCAGGAGAAGGTTGCTTCCTTGGAGAAGAGACTGGAGCAGAACTTATCAGGAGAAGAGCATGTGCAGGAACTCCTGAAAGAGGTGACTAGCTCTCTTTGAGCTGGCCGGTGTTGGGAAAGCAATGGTAACCCCGGAGATTTCATAAAATCCTAGAGTTTCAGAGCCACAGAGTCTACAAACAGCTTGGTGAGAAGAGCACTCTCCCCACCTTTTGATTGTCCTGCTTTCACAAAGAAAGCCTCATGTCACCCGTGTGGCATGTTTTCCTCAGGGAAAGGGAGAACTTTGTTCAGAGATGCATATGAATAAATAGCACCCTGATCACCCCACCTAGTGATTTACACCACTCGGGCTGTCTTGTCTTACCACCCTGCTCTCCTCTGCCCTTTTGTGCTTCCATTGGCCAAGGCAAACAGGGCAGTGAGCAGACTCTCCTGAGCTGAAGGAGGCTGTTGAGCAGACTGGCCTCGTGCCCAGTGGTGTTGGGCAACTTACTTTCTCATCACATCTCACTTCATTTGCCCACATTCGTGCTGCTCCTCCTCTCTCTATGCCAGTGATTGGCCTCACTGTGACAAAGGTGACAAAGCCAAAGCCTTGGGCCTTGATTCGACCTCGCTTTCTGTCTTGAGTCAGTTTCAGCCGAATAGCTCCATCTCTGCTGCCGCTGTTGCACTTCAGGGCTTCCTGCACCTCCAGCCTAGTCTACACTAGAGTCTCCAGACTGGCCTGCCCGGCTCAGTCCCTCCTCCTCCACCCTCTGACGCAGCCTTCCACACCCACTGCCAAAATGACCTCCCTAAACAACGTTTCTGACCACATTGCTCCTTAAAGAGCTTCCACGACTCCCCTGCAGTCTGCAGTGCGTGTAATGTGGGTTCCAGGGTGGAAATTGATTTCTAGCACCAGGCTACCTCGGTTTGTGTCTCACCTCTCTACTTACTAGTTTGTGACTTAGAGCAGGTAACTTAATGTCTTTGTGTTTGTTTCTGCCTCTGTAAAGTAGGGCTAATGATTGTACCAAATGCGTAGAATTATCGTTAGGATTAAATGAGTTACAGTATGTGAAGTACTTCGAATGAGGCTTAGAACATAATGGGGGGCCCTCGGTGTATTTCAGCTATTAATGGTATAATCATTATTAGTGTGCCGTCATCATTATTATAAAGTTTAGTGTGCATGAGAGATACTTGGGGGGTTTGTTTGAAGTCTATATCTCTGTCCCTCCCCTCAGAAGTTCTGATTTCAGTAGGCCTGGAAGGAGGCCTCAAGTTTAACAGCCACCCCTCCCCAGCAACCAAATAAGTCTAATGCCAGTGTTTGGACCACCCCACTTTGAAAAATATTGCCTACGGAATTAAATTGAAACTCCTTTCTGCAGCATAAAAAGTTTCTCACGATCTGGCCTGTTGCCTAATTTTCCAGTCTTGTTTCTTGACCTGAATCCATCATCACTTTAACTTTTGGCAAGTTGTAGCTCCCCACGTGTGCCAGGCTGTTTCACACCTCCGCTAGTCATCCCTCTGCCTGGGTGCTCCCCCTCCCGCGCCACCTGTGAATCGTGAAGCCTCCCACTTTCCTGAGGCCGTTTCCCGCTCTTTGCTCATTCTTTGTGGGTGCCTGTTGCACTCTGTTGTATAATATTTTTGTTAGTCTTTTACCCCAGCGTCAAGGTCAAAGGACTGTCAAATTTCTCTCTCTGTACTTTATGATATGTGAATTTTATCTCAATTAGCTGTTATTTTTTAAAAATGTATTTGTGTCCCTTGTGCCTCACACAAATCGTAGTATGTTTTAGATACCAGTAAATATTTATTCAATGGAGAAATGACTATTTTCTTTTACTCTTCTTTCAACTTACAGAAAACAGTTGCCGAGCAGAATTTGGAGGATACCAGACAGCAGCTCTTAGCAGCCAGAAGCAGCCAGGCCAAGGCCATTGACATCCTGCAGACTCGGGTACTGATCTCACTCCCAAGTGATTCCTGTGTCTGAGTTGTAACCTGGTTGGATGACATGGTTGTGGCTGAGAATCCCCTTGGGTCAGAGGTTTTCTTTCAGAGGGACTGTCTTTTGGATCTTACTTATACAGGGTTGAGCTAGTCGTTTTCTTCGTTCTTGCCACATCACTGTCATTGTTCCACACAAAGTTGTGCTTGTGTTTATTTATTCCTTTTTATCCCCATTCCCCTCCCTCCCATAGGAAACCATTCTGTTGTGGTTAATAACACACACTTTTATTGTTGGATTGCCTTAAAATGGGTGGCATTGGGGCCGACCTGGTGGCGCAGCGATTAAGTGCGCACATTCCGATTTGGCGCCTCAGGCTTCAACTGTTCGGATCCCAGGTGCGGACATAGCACTGCTTGGCACGCCATGCTGTGGCAGGCATCCTGCATATAAAGTGGAGGAAGATGGGCACGGATGTTAGCTCAGGGCCAGTCTTCCTTAGCAAAAAGAGGAGGATTGGCGGCAGATGTTAGCTCAGGGCTAATCTTCCTCAAAAAAAAAAAAAATAGGTGGCATTGTTTTGAGTGCATGTATGTTAATTGAGGGAAACGATATGGCCCTGCATGTGTCTTCTCTGTTACTTTCCTCTGCCCCATCTGCTATCTGTGTCCACTTCGCTGTACTCACCTACTCCACTTTGTAGTTATCTACTAGATGTTAGACATCCAGATTGCCGCCTTCTTCCTGTCACCACAGATGACACTGCAGTGAACGTCCTGGTCCCTGTTATCTTAAGGAGAATAGAGAGTGTGTATGACCTAATGTGACTAAGTAAGACAAGAACGTTCCCAGAGGGCTGCACCTGGCTTCGCTCCCCCAGCGTGCACGAGGGTCACTGTATCTGCATCTCTGCCTTTTCCAGCATTGGCGTTTCCCAGCCTTTTAATTTTTTTGCCAGTTTAATGAGTGTGAAGTGGCAGAAGGGGCCAGGGATCTCTTTGGGGCCTCTTTTATAAGAGCACTAATCCCACTCCTGAGGGGTCTGCCTTCATGACCTAAGCTCTTCCCAGAGGCCCCGTATCCTAATACCATCCCATCAGGCGTTAGGCTTTCGACCTGAGACACAACCATTCAGACCATGGCACATGCTTAGCCCATTTTTAAAATCTTTCTTATTTCCTGATAAATATATTTAAAACTGTATTTTTATCTTAATACAGCTTTGTTTGTTTTATTATAATTCAGTTCTACCTATTTCTGAGTATCTTTTTTTTCACTGTTGCAAAATATACATAACATAGGGGCTGGCCCTGTGGCCTGTGGTTAAGTTCGCGCGCTCCGCTGCAGGTGGCCCAGTGTTTCGTTGGTTCGAATCCTGGGCACGGACATGGCACTGCTCATCAAACCATGCTGAGGCAGCGTCCCACATGCCACAACTAGAAGGACCCACAACGAAGAATATACAACTATGTACTGGGAGGCTTTGGGGAGAAAAAGGAAAAAAAATGAAATCTTTAAAAAAATATATATACATAACACAACATTTAGCTTTTCAACCGTTTCTAGGTGTGCAGTGCAGTGGCTTTAAGTGCATTCACATTGTTGTGCAACCATCACCACCATCCACCTCCAGAACTTTATCATCTTCTTGAACTGTACCTCTGTACCAGTTAAAGCAGTAACTCCCCATGCTCTCCTCCCCGTCCCCTGCAGCCACCATTCTACTTTCTGTCTCTATGAATTTGATGACTCTGTACGTTATATTAGTGGGATCATACAATATTTGACCTTTTGTGTCTGGCTTATTTCACTTAGCTTAGTATCTTCAGGGTTCATGCATGTTGTACCATGTGTCAGAATGTCATTCCTTTTTAAGGCTAAATAAGCTTCTTTAAGACTTTCATTCCACTGTATATATATATACCACGTTTTGTTTATCCCTTCTCTTGTCAATGGACATTTGGGTTGTTTCCATCCTGTGGCTGTTGTGAATGATGCTGCCATGCACATTAGTGCTGTGAACAAGGGTTTTGTGTGCACTCAGGCTGTCGTTTCTCTTGGGTATATACCTGGGAGTGGAATCGCCAGGCCTTAGGATAACTCTCTGCTTAACCTTTTGAGGATCTGAGTCTCTCTTGAGCTCTCCCTCTAAATTGGGACTTGGGTAGATATTTTCTGAACTCAGGAGTTTAAAAAGCTAGGTTTCAGTCCCGGCTCTACCACAAATAGAGTTTGTGACAATGGGCAAGTAACATGACTGTTCTCCTCTACGGAAATGCACTATTCTCACAGGGTTACTTCAGTTGAGTCTTATACGTGAATGTATAGGAGGAACCGTAAGACCTGAAAATATCCATCTCATTGGGTCCCTGCCTCTCCTGACAAAGCTGCAGCCTTGCCTGTGCGTATGTTGTCATAATAGAGTTCCCCAAGGTCAGACCTTATTCAACAAACGAGAGGACTCATTTTTTTTTTTTGAGGAAGATTAGCCCTGAGCTAACATCTGCTGCCAATCCTCCTCTTTTTGCTGAGGAAGACTGGCCCTGAGCTAACATCCGTGCCCATCTTCCTCTACTTTGTATGTGGGACGCCTACCACAGCGTGGCTTGCCAAGTGGTGCCATGTCCGCACCCGGGATCTGAACCGTTGAAGCCTGGGCCGCCGAAGCGGAATATGCGCACTTAACTACTGTGCCACCAGGCTGCCCCCCCACAAGAGGACTTTATAAGAGAAATTGGCAAAGACAGCTCGAGTCAGATAAAAATGTCACATTAGAGAGCCAGGTCGAGCCCAGTGCTGGGCAATATGTCGTCCTGTCCTCTGGGCCTGCCTCATGTCCCAGTGGCAGTGCCAGGTACCTAGTCAGGCTTGGTTGATATTTGTGGAATGAGTGAGACCTAAGTTTGTATCATGAGCGGTAATCCCACTTCTGGAAATCTATCCTAAGCAAGTGATTCAAACCAGGTCAAAAAACGTTGCATGAAGATATTAACTGCTGCCTCATTTTAGATGGGAAAATGGAAAACAACCTAAGTGCCAGCACTGTAGGCACTGGTTCAGTAAATTATGAAATATCCTTTGAGGAGACAATCTATGATCTGAAGAATATGTGGAAACACAGAAGGAAACTTGAGTGAGGAGGAAAAATACAGAGTTTTACCAGAATTGTATAAAAAGTTATTTTTAAAAAATCATAAAACCGACTAGAAGAAAATGCATTGGAACGATAGTGCTTTATAATGGTAGACTTATGCGTTATCGTTTTTCTAATTTAAAAATTTTCTGTCATGGACCTGTTTTAGGACTTAAAGCCACTTGTTGCTACTCTCCAGCTTCCTTTGAACGAAAGAGTGCTTCTGTTTCCCCTCAGGTGAGAGAACTAGAGCAGAGCCTGCAGGCGTCTGAGGAGAAGCTGAAACAGAGCAGTGACATCATGGCAACTCAAGAAGCTCAGATTCAGGAGCTTGTAAGTGGTTATTGCGGCTGCTGTGTCCTGGGCCCTCGATGCTTTCCCTTCATGCCTTTGCACACACCTCAGACTCACTCCCAACTTCTGGAGTGGTATCTGGACCCGACCTTAGATCCAGTTGTGCTGAATCTGAACAGGCGGGCAGCTGCAGATGGAGGGAGTGCGGGCCTGCTGGAGGATCGGAGTTATCCAGAGAGGATGAGTCGCACCTGACAGCTGGCCGTGGGGCCCAGCCTAGTTCTGGGACTGTTAGAGGTCATAGCTCCACTGGGAGTCAAACCTCAGCTTGCAGCCGGGGCTGTGGAGAACAGGTCCCAGCTCTGGGGAGAAGATGGCAAGGCTTGGCCAGCTGTCACAGCCCCAGGTTGGGTGTTGAGTTCGAAACTAGAGAAATAGGGGCCAGCCCATGCCCGAGTGGTTAAGTCTGTACACTCCGCTTCAGCGGCCCAGGGTTTCGCTGGTTTGGATCCTGGGCGGGGACATAGCACCGCTTGTCAGGCCATGCTGAGGCAGCGTCCCACATGCCACAGCTGGAAAGATCCACAACTAAAATACACATCTATGTATTGGGGGACTTTGGGGAGAAAAAGCAGAAAAAAAAAAAGAAAAAAAACTAGAGAAATGAAAACAGCATTTATGGCATGTTTGCCGTGTCCTAGGCACTGTGCTAAGTTCTCTGCACATGTTTTCCTTTAGTCCTTGCAGCAGACCTAAGGCATGTGTACTGTTGTTATCATTCTAGAGGAAGCAGGCTCAGAAAAACCTGGTCACTAGCCCTTGGTCTCCCAGCTAGTAAATGGCAGAACTCACATCTTTCTTAGATCAAAGCTCTTGTTCTTCATCACTCTCTTATACTTCCTCCCAGGAAGCACTTCAGCCATAGAGGGCAACACTGAGTGGGGTGACAGAGGGCTGTGTCTTAGGACTGGCTGGTGCCCAAAGCTGTCCCCAACCCCAGCTCCTGAGCAGGCCAGGGGCCAGGGCAATAGGCAGAGCTTACAGCAGGGGACATCGATAGCACCCAGGCTGAGGAAGGTCAGGAAGGAGAGGTGTTTCTGTCGGACACCCATCTTTGGTCACCAAGGGACAGAATAAGGCCCCTGTTGTCACCGTGAATAACTGTCCTCTGGTACCCCCACAGGCTGCCGCAAACAAGGAGAGCAGCCGTGCTCAGCAGCAGGTGCTCGCTCTGGAGCAGCAGTGCACAGAGCGCATCCACGTGCTGGAGGCCCAGCTCGCTGCCCTGGAGAGAGCTCGGGCAGCCGAGCAGACAGCTGCACAGCGGGAGGCGGTGAGTGCGGGAGCGGGGAGGCCGCCACATGAGCGCCAGGTTCGCGCGTGGCTGGGCTGCCAAGTAGTTTGACAGGAAGAGGACCAGCCTCTTCTGAACTAGGAAACCACTTTTTGAGCAGTGTTTGTCTCCCCACCAAGACACCTGCTCGTGAGCCTGGATGGGAAAAGGCTGCTTTTTACAAAACCCCCAATCAGATGGGTTTGCTTTTTCCTTGGGCTGCACAGGGACTTCCTGTCACTTCCTGACCAGTCCCACCAGCTTCTTCCCATTGTCTGTCTACAGTTTCTGTTGTTCTCCCCGAATGGCTTCTCCTTTTCCCTGGTCCCCTCCCTGTCCCACAGTCTTCAGAGTCAAGTGCCTCGTTTCTTCTTGTGAGGAGTTTGTCAAGCGGCTCTCTCTTTCTGACCTCCGCCCTGTTCTCATCTCCCACCCCTGCAGTGACCAAAAAAGGAACAGGGAGCATTTTTAAAGATTCCATGTCAGGGGCTGGCCCCGTGGCCGAGTGGTTAAGTTCGTGCGCTCCGCTGCAGGCGGCCCAGTGTTTCGTTGGTTCGAATCCTGGGCGCGGACATGGCACTGCTCATCAGGCCACGCTGAGGCAGCGTCCCACATACCACAGCTAGAAGAATCCACAATGAAGAATGTACAACTATGTACCGGGGGGTGTTGGGGAGAAAAAGGAAATAAAAAAAAAAAATCTTAAAAAAAAAAAAAAAAAAAAAGATTCCATGTCAAAGACAGGACTGTGCTCAGGGGAAATATGGTAAAGACCTTTTCTTTTTATATATACTGTGCTCAATTTGCAGAGAGAGCTGGAGCAAGAAAATGCAGCCCTTAAAGAAAGTAAGAATGAATGTGAATGTTCTTTACAGCATCACCAACTTGAACTAAAGAAGCTAAAGGTATCTATCTAATTGAATCAGTTTCACAAAAGTGTCATGTCTTGCACGTGTGTATTTGGAGCAGCCGAGTGAGGGTTCTGTACTTAGAGTGAGAAGGGGTGGAACTGGCATTTATTCAGTAGTTCTGTTAGGCATTTACTGGAAATTGTCGCCTGATTAAGTCCTCTCAGTGATCCAGGACGGTGGGAAGAATTGTGCTCATTTTGCAGTTAATGTCATTGAAGTTCCAAGTGTACATAATTTGCCCAAGTTCCGTAGTTAGAGGTGGCGCTGGTCTGACTTTTCACTCCACCACAGAGGTCAGCCCTTCCTCTGCACTGCCATCAACAGCTGCCTGAAAGTAATGCTGTCAGAGCACATGGTTGCTGATTTTAACAGTGAGACTAGGAAAGCAAGGCCTCACATGGTCGGTCATAGGACCTTGTTTGTTTATGCCAGGGAGCATGTACAGAAATGAAGAAACAGTCTGCTGGATTGTCACCCTTTCCTTTCTGGGAACATGGTGCTTTAATCAGATGCTGCCCGCTTCATTCCCTGGACATAACTGGATGCAGAGGGAGAGAGATTCTGGCACTTCCTTATAGGCCTCCGGCTCCCCAACCCCTTTCACAGCAGCCCTTAGACGATGGGTCATTGCAGTACTTGCCCAGCTTGGTCACAACACCACGACCTTGTCGATTCTTTGGCACAGGACTTGTCTGAGAACATCCACAGCTGAGGGCCTGTGCCGAGTGAGCCTTCAGCAGTGTCTGCGAGGTGTTGCCGGTGCTGGGGCCGTAGTGCCGGACCGTGGGAAGCGTGTGCGAGGTGCTGCCGGTGCTGGGGTGGTAGTGCCGGACTGTGGGAAGCGTGTGCGAGGTGCTGCCGGTGCTGGGGCCGTAGTGCCAGCTTGAGGGAAGCGTGTGCGAGGTGCCACCGATGCTGGGGCCGTAGTGCTGCCTTGAGGGACGCATGTGCGAGGTGCTGCCGGTGCTGGGGCCATAGTGCTGGCTGGAGGGACGCGTGTGCGAGGTGCTGCTGGTGCTGGGGCCATAGTGCCGCCTGGAGGGACGCGTGTGCGAGGTGCTGCTGGTGCTGGGGCCGTAGTGCCGCCTGGAGGGACACGTGTGCGAGGTGCTGCCGGTGCTGGGGCCGTAGTGCCGGCTTGAGGGAAGCGTGTGCGAGGTGCTACCGGTGCTGGGGCCGTAGTGCCGGCTCAAGGGACGCGTGTGCGAGGTGCTGCCGGTGCTGGGGCCGTAGTGCCAGCTGGAGGGACACGTGTGCGAGGTGCTGCCGGTGCTGGGGCTGTAGTGCCAGCTGGAGAGATGCGTGTGCAAGGTGCTGCCGGTGCTGGGGCTGTAGTGCCGGCTCGAGGGACGCGTGTGCGAGGTGCTGCCGGTGCTGGGGCGGTAGTGCTGGCTCGAGGGAAGCGTGTACTTTAGAGTCGGATACTTTTTCATGCCTTCCTTCAACAGACGTTTAAGTACCTGGATGCACCGTTGTAGGTGCTGAGATGCGCCAGTGAGCAGAAGGACAAAACTCTCCCCCTGAGGAGCTTGTGAAGGGAGACAGTAAACAAGTGAGCAATAGTCATGTGCTCTGAAGAGGACAAAGTAGCGTGAGGGGCCGGGAGTAGGACGGAGAGCACTCTTTTAAATTGGGAGGTCAGGGAGGCTTCAGGATATTTGAGCAAAACATCTGAATAAGGAGAAGGGCCAGCAGTGTGAATGTTTGGGGAAGGAATATTCCAGACAGAAGAAATAGCAAATAGAAAGACTCTGTGGAAGGAAAAAGGCTTGGTTTGTCTAGAGAACAGCACCGAGGCCAGTGTGGCTGCTGCCTAGTGGGCTGGGGAAGAAGAGTGGATGGTAGTGAGGGGAGGGCAGGGAAGCCATCCGAGGCGTGAAGGAGAGAAGTGATGTGAGGAGGTCTGTCTGAAAAGAGTCACTCTGGCTCTGAGTGGAGAGTGTTCTGTAAATGAGGCAAGTGCTGAAGTAGGAAGAGCTGTTAGGAGGCTCAGCTATTACTGTGCTTACCGTGTTTAAGGATACAGAAGACAAAATTGAAAATGTCAGCTGAGATTTGGAAACTAATAAAAGACAGCAGTTTTGAAAAGCGATCAAATTCGAATTTTAGAATTGAAAAATGCAATAACTGAAACGCAGTAGATTACAAAAGGGCATGTGGAAACGTTTTTGGGGTAATGGATATTTTCACTATTTTTATTGTGGCAATGATTTCACCATAATTCATCATATTGCGCACTTTATGTTTAGTTGATTATTCAATTCTACTTCAGTAAAGCTGTCTACCAAAAAGATGAATGAGTTTAACAGCAGATTAGAACTAAAGAGAGAATTAGTGAAATGTAAGAAAGGGCAGAATGAAATACATAAAATGAACAATTAAAGACATTAGGATTCTGTGAGATGTCTTATCATGTATCAGTGGAGGCCCAGAAGGAAATGGAAAAAACAAGACAGAAGCAATCATTGAAGAGATTTCATGGCTGAGAGTTTGCCAGACTGATGAAAACTGTCAAGTTACAGGTACAGGTATAAGACCCCTTACAGATGCAAACAGGAGCAATGTGAAAATCCATACCCAGACACAGCATGGTGGCAGAACTGAAGAAAACCAGTAAAATGAAAACAAAAAATTAGTCAGCAACAGACTTGCACTAAAGGAACTACTAAAGAGCATATTTTAGGAGCCAGCCCGATGGCACAGTGGTTAAGTTCACATGCTCTGCTTCTGTGGCCCGGGGTTTGCATATTCGGATCCCAGGTGTGGACCTACACACCGCTCATCAAGCCATGTTGTGGCAGCATCCCACATACAAAATAAAGGAAGGTTGGTACAGATGTTAGCTCAGGGACAGTCTTCCTACCAAAAAGAACAAGCATCTTTCAGGTGAAGGAAAATTCTGGGTGGAAGAACAGAGGATGTAAGGAGGTAAGAAAGAATGAAGAGCAATGATTATTGCAAATATGTATGCAAAAAGAAACAGAAAATCTGACCCACAGTGTGTCATTCATGGTCCATTCAGGAGAAAGGAGCCACCCCAGTTATTCAAATGAGAATTTATGTTCTAATGTAAAGTGGTTTTTTTTGGTTTGGTTTTTTTTTTTTTTTTTTTGCAGTAACATTGGATTATAACATTATATAGCTTTCAGATGTACATCATAATATATTTCGAATTCTGTGTAGATTACCTCATGTTCACCACCCAAAAACTAATTATAGGCCATCACCTCACATGTGAGCTGAATCACCCCTTCTGCCCTCCCCCTCCCCCCTCCCCCTTTGGTAACCACCAATCCAATCTCTGTTGCTTTGTCATTATTAATGTAAAGTTTTTTAATCCAGCACTGAAACAGTTAAAAGATACCACGAAGGAAGCAGCTTCCAACCCTAGGACTAAGGGAGCAAAGTGAAGAAGTTAGAATTATTAAACTTAGGAATTGAGAGCCGCACAGGTTTGACACTCAGGCCCCTGAGGGGGGGCGCTGTACAGTTGGTGCTGGTGTGTGTGTCGGAGGATGGGGCAGTGAATGAATTCAGTTGCAAGTGTTGGAAAAACTGCAAAGTGGATGCAGCTGCTGCTTTAGGAAAATTGCTGCTACCAGGGCAAAGGAGCACTGCTCAGAGAAGCAGGAGCTGCCGGAAAGCAGGAAGGCTTTTTCTCCCTCCTCCTGCCGTGCAGCCTCCCTCAAGCTCCCCCTGTTGGCAGATATTGATATGGAGCCAGCTGGATGAGCAGAAATGTGGTTTGCCGAGTCCCGGGTGTAGCGTCACAAAGCAGATTCTAAAAGGCTAGGTGTGGGCTGAGAGGCAATAACTTAAAAACCAGCACACACAGGCTGTTTAGAAAGGGGGTTAATTTTCAACATTTGGGGGATTTTCTCGATATCTTGGATTTCTAGTTTAATACCATTAGGATCAGATAATATTCTGAATGATTTCTGTCCTTTGACATTTATTTAGACTTGTTTTATGACCCAGCCTATAGTCTATCTTGTTAAATACTTTAGTGCACTTGAAAAGAATATATATTCTGCTGCTGTTAGGGAGAACATTCTATATATACTAATTAAATCAAGTTGGTTGATAGTATTGTTCAAATCTTCTATATGTTTTCTGATACTTTTTTTTTTTGCTGAGGAAGACTAGCCCTGAGCTAACTCTGTTACCAATCCTCTTCTCTTTTTGCTTGAGGAAGGTTAGCCCTGAGCTAACATCTGTGCCAATCTTCCTCCACTTTATATGTGGGTCGCTGCCACAGCATGGCTGATGAGTGGTGTTGGTCCACACCCAGGATCCAAACCCAAGAACCTGGGCCCCCAAAGTAGATCACCTCGAACTTAACCACTACTCCGCGGGGCTGGCCCCTCTTTTTTTTTGGTCAACTTGTTTTATCAGCTACTGAGAGAAATGTGCTAAATCTTCAGCTATGATCGTGGATTTGTCTCTTTCACGCTTTAGTTCTGTCAGTCTTTGCTTCAAGTATTTTGAGGCACTATGTTTAGGTGCACACATGTTTAGAATTGTTTGTATCTCATATTTTTCAAAATAGCTGTTCCCTGAGCCCCTCTGGGGAAATCATTCCTAGGTGCAGAGAGCTGCCGCCTCTGGGTAGCATGGTGGCCCCCACAGCGACCCTGAGCTGCACGGTCAGCCTCACCTCCCGTGGTCCTGGATTGTCTGTGGCTCTGTGGCAGTAGCACAGACTTCAGAGCCGCGTGGAATCAGTTCTGTGAGCCAGCCTAGCCCCTCACCAGCTGGTTCTTGAGGAAATCCAGTTTCCTTATTTTAGACTGAAGATGATCACCCTTGCCTTCGAGAAGATTACCCTGAAGATCCAGCCTGAGCACGGATGAGAATTGTCAAGTGCAGTGCCTGCCCTGTCTTCTTGCTCACAGTCTGCCTCCTGGCCACTTAGACGTCAGTGGTCACAGCGTCTCTTCTAAACTTCTCCCGAAAAGGCTGCTGCAGAAGCAGGACGTTCCTGTCACCCTCCCCACCTGGGCAGGCAGGGCCAGGGTTTCATAGCTCCACCCAGCCTGAAACCTCTTGCTCCTTCTCCTGTATCAACAGAGCCTCCCCTACGAGGGGTATTGTCCGGAGTAGTTAGGTCCCAACGTCAGCCTCTAGAGTTCAGGTGCCAATTGCTCTTGTCCACTAGAGGTGGTCTCACGGAAGGTCAATTCTGACAACTCCACAGTAGGAGCCAGAATGCCACTGGCAATGACTGACATCTCCCTCTGTTGACGCGCTTGGCCTGGAGTAAGTGGAAAGGGCGGTTTCGTAGGAGGAGTAGAGCAGCTCACAGAACCAGAAGGACTTGTTCGCCAGGAACCCGAGGCCTCAGAGCTCTCCTCATCCTGCATCATGCTGTCCCCCTGTCAGTCACCCAGCTCTCGCACTCGCTTTTCTCCAGGATATAGACTGCGTCCAGTCCCACAGCGGCTCCAAGCTGGTGACGCTCCAGCTTAGCGACCCCGGGGAAGGAGGGATTCTCCCTCTCAGCTTCGTCGTATAAAAGGGATTCGGGGGCCAGCCTGCCAGTGTAGAGGTTAAGTTCACATGCTACTCTGTGGGCGGCCCAGGGTTCCCAGGTTCAGATCCTGGGTGTGGACTTAGCACCTCTTGTCAAGTCACGCTGTGGCGGTGTCCCTCATAAAGTAGAGGAAGATTGGGACAGATGTTGGCTCAGGGCCAATCTTCCTCACCAAAAAAAAGAATGGGGGGATTCTGATTGGTTCATCTTGAGGGACAGAGCCACCCTCTGGACAAATTGATTTGGCCAAGGAGATGAGGTATTGTGATTGACCAGGCCTGGATCACTTGCTTATCCTTGTAGCCACAAAATGGGGGTATCATTTTTGGCCAGAACTATGTGGAATTGTGGGGTGGGAGTAGAGAAGAGCAATGATGAGGCTCTTACCCCCCAAAAAGGAGGGGATTCTGGGGAGACAGAAACAGTGGACATCCCTGACAGTGTTCAGGCCCCTGAGAAGTCATATTATTCGTCTAGGGGTTGATTGCAAGCCCGGCATCAGTCACAGGAGAGGACTTGAGGGTTTGTTGGTTAGTCGCTGTGCTCTGGGAAAGGCCAGTGAGGCAGCCCTGCTCGTGGTAGAAAATACTGTGGGTGGGAGAGTCCAAAGCTTGGCTCTGAGCTCAGACAGAAGCTGGCTGTGCCACTTACCAGCTCCAGGACCGTGGGCAAATGATTAACCTCTCAGAGCCTCAGTTTTCTCTCGTACAAAATGGTTAATTTTGGTGAGTCTGTGACATTTCGCCTTACTAAAATCCCTAATTTCTTATTGTTTTTTCTATAACCGGATGGTCCCAGTCCGCTGTTCCATCCGCGTGGCCTGAGAGTCTTTCCTGTTCTGCGTTGATTCCACTGGCCCAGCTCTTCAAGTTCTAGGTCCGAGCACTGGCTGGGGTGCTCATGGGATGAACGACCCCCAGTGCTGTGCCCTGGCGTGCTGTCCACCAGGACCGTTCTCAGAGGGATACAGAAGGCCTTGCAGCCAGAGGGCAGCCTGGGAACCTTGGAAAGCAGGGACAGTGTTCGTCTGGCCCTGCGAGACACTACTCCTGCTGTGGCCTTAATGTGAAGTGTTCAACTAAAAACACATGAACTGAGTTTTGGGGCTCAATCTCCTCCTGGTTTTCGGTATTGCAGGAAGAGTGGAGCCAGAGAGAAATCGTGAGTGTGGCGATGGCTCAAGCCCTGGAGGAGGTGCGGAAGCAGAGGGAGGAGCTCCAGCAACAGGTGGGCTCTGTGTGACCCTGCGGTGCGAGCCTGCGCCCGTCTGTCCAGGGCTCAGGAATGCCGTCAGCCATGTGACTCCCCGGAGGTCTGTGGGGGTGAGAGAAAAATGTTATCAAGAGACCTTCTCCCCACAGGAGGGCCTTTTTTGATGGTCAGTGTTATAAACATCACCTGGGAGAAGCCCATCCCCAGACACCTACTGGGCTCTGTTTCTGTGAGGCGGGCCTCCCTGCCCGTGGCCCCTGGACGGCACGCACCGCTGAGCTCCCAGCAGGCGGGGTGGAAAGCCTTCCTGTGCAGATGGGCTCGGCGTCAGGCCCCGGGCCTCCTAGTGAATTGGCTCTGGGCCTTGGGTTGGTGCTTAAGACATCTGAGTCTCAGAGCTGCCTCTGAAAAGACTCCAGGATCATCACCTTCTGGGATTCTGTCACGAGGTCGTGTTCTGTGGGTCAAATGCAGGCCCATCGCAGGCACTCAAGCCTGCAGGTTGTGGTTGTCACAGCTCATTGGAAGCCCGGGCAGGGCAGCCGCGTCTCTGGTGGCCCACTGCAGGCCAGAGGGGCAGTGAGGGCGAGTGCCCTGTGCAGGGCCTCTGCCAAGGAGAATTGGTTGATGCTTGTGTGTAGGAGCAGAGGGTAGCTGCAGTGTGTTCGAGGCTGTGGACTTCAGAGTGGGACTCAGGGTACCCGGGGTAGTAGGAAAGTGGAGAGGCCTTTGGGGGAGATGGGGTTACTGCTGCCAACCTTCTCCTGCGTGGGTTTTCTCCAAGGCTGCTAACCTGACGGCTGCAGTAGAGGAGAAGGAGCAGAGTCTGCAGGAGAAAATGGAAGTGATTCTCCAGAAAGAGCAGGAGATTCTCCTGCTGAAGACAGGTGAGGGTTCTGCCCCTGCTGAGCCCTCTCACCTGTTCCTGCCCAGCAGCACTGCCCTGAGGTGGCTGGTCCTGACACACTGGGCTCATGAGCCCCCTCCCCCTGCCCGGCCTAGGTCACGACTCGGCCCTGCTGCAGACGCACCAGCTGCAGAGCGAGCTGGAGGCCCTGCGGAGCCTGCGGGCGGAGGAGCTGCTGCCAGGCCAGGAGCAGGGGCCGGCGCTCTCAGCCAGCGAGCCTCACGTGAGTGCCATCTGGCCCGCCAGGCCGAGGCGTGGTGGCAGCCGTGTGTGCTGCAGCGAGATACCAGGCGGCCTGCTGCCGTCCGCCAGGGGAGGAGGCAGTGGGGACGCAGGGAAGGGCGCTGGTGTCCACTCACTACGGAACGTGGGGCAAGTCACTGCCCTGAGCTCTACTTCCTGTGTTTAAAGTGGGGTGCTTGACTGACTGGGAGGTTGTGAGTCTGGAGGACCCCACTGGAGGTGGCGACACCTGTCAGTGCTCAGGTGTTAAGGCCCTTTCCCTCCAAGCAGACTCATTGCGTGGAAAGCTCAGTGTCACCCTGGAGGGCACTGGCCGGGCTCTCCGTAGATTAAGTTTGGTTCCTGGCCAGCTGCCCAGTGGGCACCACCAGCCCACCCCTTTGGAACAAGTCTTGGTCCCCTCCCCAGGGACCTGTGGCTTAGCTTGACTATTACCTGTCCTGACTCTCAACTTGTTGCCATCACCCTGTAGGTAACCTTGAGGGCCATGCAGGACCCCACGTACCAGCTTCCAGCTGCAGAGGGAGTACCAAATGGTGAGGTGGGGGCAATGGATCTGGGGCAGCTACAGAAGGAAAAGCAGGGCTTGGAGCAGCAACTTCTAGAGAAAAATAAGGTGAGGATGCCCTTTGCCTCAGCTGTTTCTGTCTCTGCTCTTTCCCTGTCCTCGTGCCTCAAACCATTCCTCCCTTGTTTGCCGGTGCCCCGGGCACCTCCTCGGGGAGATGGCACCTCCTCATCAAAAGGGCTTTTTCCTGGGTTTCCTCTTCTTTCTGCCTCCTGTGCTGTCATCTTCCTGTCACACTCGCCTGTCCTCTCCGCTCCCCGACTTGAGAAAACGTCTCACGTGTCAGAGCTTGAGCATCGGCAGGTCTAGGTGTTCCCAGCCACCTCTGCTGTCACCACTGGGTGGTGGTGGACCAGTCACCTTACCTCTGCGCTTCCTTCGTACAGCTGTGAAATGGTGGCAGTGAGACCTGCCTTTACGTGGTTTTTATGGGGGGGCGGGGATGAAATGGAAGTGTTTCTGAGCTGCCCGGTAGAATTTCTGTTACTTGGTGGCGGCTTCATAGATGTGCTGAGCCCACCCCCTAGCCCCCGCCCCCAGGCCTCTGCGCCTGTAAATGCGGGCTCTTATTTGGTTCTGGTTTGTAAAGTGTCTTGTGAAGTTAAATGTGCTGGATAGTTATTGCTCTGGCCTGAAATTCTGCCCTCAAATTGTGTGATTGTATGTGCATATTTTTTTAGATCTTTAACAAAAGGAAAAAGCGTTCTTTCTCTTTCCCTCCCCCCACATTTAATCTCTTGTCGTGAAGTATAACACACACACAGAAGTGACAAATGCTGTGCCCCAGGTCCCACCCTTGGACCCCTCTCTCAGTTGCAGTCACGCCCTTGGCCATCTTGCCGTACTTACACTGCTGTTCCCACAGCCCGTCTCCAGTCATGTGGCTCCTCTGAGCCCCAGACTTCATGTCTGTCCACTCGGTGTCTCCTCATGAATGTCCGAAAGGTATCCGAAACTGAATATGTCCAGAAGCGAACTCCGATTCATCGTGCTCCCCAGCATCTCCTGCCATCTGTCCTGGTTCAGGAAATGGCAGAGCCTGGGGTCATCCTCAAGCGCCTTGTTTCTTTCTCAACCAACATCCACACCAGTAGCAAGTCCTTTGGCTTTCCCTTCAAACTACACCCAGAATGAGCTACTTCTCATCTTCACCAGTGCTGTGCCCCTAGGCCAGGTCACGGTCCTCTCTGTCCTGGAGGATGGTATTGGGCTTCTAACTGGTTTCCCTGTCATGCCTCTGTTCCAGCCCTCTGATGACTTCCCATCTCTGTAAAAGCCGAAGTCCTTGCAGTGGCCCACAAGCTCTGTGTGGGCGGGCCCCTTTCCCCTTTCACTGCACTCCCTCTGCCATCCCCAGGGCTCCCTCTCAGCCACATTGGCTTCACCTTTCTGTGAATATCAGGCACCCTCCTGCCTCAGGGCCTTTGCACTTGCTGAACCTTCTGTCTGGAAGATTCTTTCCCCAGTTACCCTCACTTCCTTTATGGTGTCATTGAGGCCTCCCCTGCCACCCCTGTCACCCCTCACCACCAGCACTCCCTGCCCCCAACCTTGCTCTTTTTCTCCATGCCTTTTACCACCTTCTGATGTACTGTATATTTGGCTATTGACATTCTCCCTCCTTAGGGCAGCCATTTTTCTTTTTTTGTTTATTGCTGTTTCCCCAGGCTCTGGGACAGTATCTGGCACATAGTAGGGACTCAGTCAATTTTTGTCGGATGAATTATGAATGAGCCAAAAACCTAGGAAATCAAGTCACAGAAAATCAAATAGCAAATGTAGTTTTGGGGGAACATCCAGCCTCACGGTAACCAAGAGAATAGCAACTGAAACCCAGTCACCGTTGGATAAAACGCGGTGTGTCAGAGGCCCTTTAATGTGCTCCACGGAGCTGGAGACACTCACGGCCCTGTGGCCCAGTCGCCTCGTTCCTCTGGAGGCTGTGGAGATGGCTCCCGTGAGGAAAGGCTTATTCCCGCTTTGTTTCAAGGAGGAAGCTCAGCTACACATTAAGACGCGGGCCGTCCCCTAGAGTTACTGTCACAGTGAGGTTGTAATTAGGAGCACTGCAGAAGGCTTTGAAAACTCCGATACATGAAAAATACTATGCAAAATGCCAGCTTCTCAGTAAGAACGGCGACATGGACCCGCAGTCCACAGGAAAAGCTCAGTTTGATATGTTACAGGTGTGAAACTTGGGAGAAATTTTTTCCTGCACTGCTGATTATACAGTAAACTTTTTGATTGGGAAAACAGAGTTCAGCCTTTCTGGTGATTAGTGTATTGTGTAATAAATTACATTTAAGGCTCATAATACTAATTAAACTGAAAATAAATACAAGACAATCAGTGGAAGATAGAAAACCCAGCGTGGGAGGCTGTGCGGAGAACCAGGAGCCTTTCCAGGGTCCGGAGCCAGCCTGGCGGGCCATCCCGGAACTCAGGGAGCACGGGTGCTGGGGACAGCCAGGCACCGTGGCCTGCATTATGTGGCACCGTAGCACATAAATACAAGCCTGAAGGACATAATCTACTGGGCAGAGATGTTTCTAGCTGTGCTGCTGACGGAGGCGAACACCCGAGCAGTCCTGCGGGCCGAGCCCATGGGGAGGCGTGGGCAGCACTGGGGCACTCGCATGCCCCATAGAGGGGCACGTGACAGCTTCAGTGGCACTTGAGGGGCCTGGAGAGCAAGTGCATGCAAAGCAGCGGCATGTGAGGGACAGAACCCAAGGCAGCAGGCACACGGGGGTCACAGCACAGGCCTCTCAGGAGATGAGGCAGGGACTTATAACAGATGTAAGGGGACCCAAGGGGCGTCTGTCTGTTCTGTTGTCCTTTGCACCTTAAAGATGGTGAATGTACGTTTAACAGCTGGCTTTTTGGGTGGCGGGGGTTTGTCTCAGACCATAAAGCAGATGCAGCAGAGGATGCTGGAGCTCAGAAAGACGCTGCAGAAGGAACTGGTGAGTGCCCCGCTTCTCCCCACTGCTGCCGCCCTCCCGGCTCTCGGCCTTGGGCCCCTCCCTGCCTGCTGATCCTCGCCTCCCCCCAGTTGACTGTGAGGGGTCTCTGGGAAGTCAGACGTTGGCTGGCCGGACAGTGGCCCTGCCAACTTGAACATGGCTCTGAAAAGCGGCTGTGTGCCCTCCTTCTCTGAGCCTGCGTGTTGTCTGAAAAGTCAGCGTAGTGATGGGTGCACCCCATGTGAATGGCGGAGTGCCAGGCCCAGACCTAAGGAGAGCAGCACCTCTGCCCCAGGGCATGTGTCCTGCCACAGATAAAGGAAATGTGAGCTTCCCCAGAGGACCTCTCTCCTCCTCTCCTGCATCCACCCCACCTGGAGGGGCTGAGCCTTCTTCAGACGTTGGCGCCTGCTTCCCAGGGGGGCCTTTGCACCCTGCTGCGTGAAGAGTGTGGCACAGGAACAGCAGGTGACCACACTTGGGCCAGGTGAATCTCCCATGCGATTTTCAAACCTGTCTTGAGGGGTCCAATGTTGCATCTCCCATTGCTTTTTCAGAAAATCAGACCTGATAACGAACTTTTTGAAGTCCGAGAGAAGCCCGGCCCTGAGATGCCAAACATGGCCCCTTCTGTCACGAATACCGCTGACCTGACTGACGCCCGTGAGATCAACTTCGAGTACCTTAAACACGTGGTTTTAAAATTCATGTCCTGTCGTGAATCTGAGGTAAAGGGCTTCTGAGTTGCCTTTGGGTACTTGGCTCCACCCTGGGCCTGGCTCACTCATCTGAGCCCTGCATGGCCTCCCACCAAGTCCCTGTCTTTTTCACTCTCCTACATTTCAGTTTGACACCAGTGGGGACGCTTAGTCATTTCTCCAGCTGGCATTGACCTTGACTGAGCAGCAAGCAGGGCGGGGGGACCGAGTAGGGAACTGGCTCCTGGGAGGAGATGTGGGTTGGATGCTGAGGCCAGAGGACAGGAAACTGATCCGCCCAGCATTCCTGCCTCCTGCCGAGGAGCAAGAGAGCGCTGTGGATGTCCTGGTGATCTTGCCAGCTCCCGAAGTAAAAGACGGAGGGAGGAAAAGAACTGTCGTTGCCATCAGACCTCAGAATGCCCAGCTCCGCCCTCCACATCCTTGCTAACCAGTTCAGGAGCACGTGCCAGGAGCAGAACCAGGAAATGCTGCCCTTCGGCCCGAGTCCCCCCACCAAGGCCCATGGCAGCAAAACTTGCTTTGTTTCAGGCTTTTCATCTGATAAAAGCTGTGTCGGTGTTGCTGAACTTTTCACAAGAGGAAGAGAACATGCTCAAAGAAACCCTGGAGTACAAGGTAGGCTTCCCTGGTCTGCCATCCGGCTTCCAAAAAAATGTAGCTGGTACTGCTGGCACTGGCAGAGGGGACCAGCGCACTGTCAGCTCAGAAGGTGCTTCTGCATGATGAACTCGACTCAGGCGGTATTTACTGAGGACACGCTGCGTGCCCACAGGTCTGTGCTGTCCTGGAGCAACGGGCCTTGTGTTTCCAGAGCGCTTTCATCAGCAGTGCTTCATCCATAGCCCCAGGTCTGGCCCAGCACCCAGACTTAAAAAAATAAAAGATAAATATTCAGAAAGTGCTTGCATTGATAATATGGAAAAAAAATTTAAGGAAAAATTACCTAAAATTCCACTGCCTTGTCTTTGTCCAGTCAGTTTTTTCTCCTGCTTCCCTCCCATACTCAGACCTCAGACGGCTGACCACAACCATCGCCTTCACCGCTCTGCTCCCAGCCCGAGTCAGGGTGCCTGGAGGGCAGCAGGGGCTGGCCCAGGGCTGGGGGCTCCTTCAGCTTCCTTTGCACCTAGTCCGGATTCTCTCTCATGAGCCTTTTCTCTTTCAAACACAGATGTCGTGGTTTGGGTCCAAGCCAGCTCCCAAGGGCAGCATCCGGCCATCCATCTCCAACCCTCGGATACCGTGGTCCTAGGTGGAACTACCCAAGGATGGAGCTCCATGGGCTGACACTCTTTCTGTGAAAAGAACACTGACACACCAGTCTGGGTGGGTTTTTAATCACTGTAACTGCAGTATTTTGTACAAGCATCTAAACACTGTTTACAAGACCTAAGGCCCACTTCCCTGCAGCCTGATCTGAACCTCAGGAGGCAGCTCATCCTGTTATCTGGTCACCAAATGGGAGGGTCCCAGCACTACCCACGTTTCCACAGCGCTGCTCACACCCCAGCCCTGGCTGGCGTCATCTGCACCTGAGTCCTCTAACTTCTAATGTTACACTTCAAGCTGAAGCCATCGGCCTCTGTCAGAGGCGGCAGTTGATCCATCATGGGATGGGATGACGCTGGATGGAAGGACAGCCCTTTGCAATGGTGCCCAGCAGGCCAGGCCCACCTGCCTCTGCCACGAAGAACCAACGATGGGGGTGGCTTTAAAACTTCCCCTTCCTGTTAGCATGTTTGGGTTCAGATGAGTTAGAAGAGGCTTTTCAACCCTTCCTCTCAAGGAAACATTATTTCACCTTGTTTCTCAAACCACCTAGAACTTTAGATGTGTCCATCTTCAAGGTACTCTGGGACCAGTGTGGATTAACGAATATGCAACTTTTTGACAGTATCTCCTTTTACTGAAGAAAACTAGCAAATATGTAAAAAGATCCTTAGTACCAAATACACTCAATTGCCTTTTTAATGAATGTATTATCTTGGCTAGGTTGCTGGTAAACCATTTTAAACTATTTTTTATAGCTAAAGTTCTTCGCTATTATTATAAACGTCTTCTGTATTATAAAATCCATTTAGCTGGTGTTCTTAAAGGAAGATCAGAGGATCAGGAGGAAATTATTTCTAAGATTGGGATTCCTGTCCCTTTGGCATTTTGCTACCATTCTGCAGTATCCGCTGAAGCAGCGGTGGTATTTAATTTGCTTTGCTCTTTAATTCTGCGTCGTAACACTGAGCACATGCTAATCACATGTTTTCTGCTGTCCCTCCTCCAGCCTCGACCAAAACCTCGGAGGTGGTCTGCCTGTATGTGGAGCCACCGGCTCTCTCCCTCACCCTCCCTGCGATTATTTAGGATGACACTACATTCATATATGACACCCAGACAGCCCCCGGCTGGCTGCAGTACCCGATAGCATGCAGATGGTTCTGGGAGCGACTGACAAAACCTGTATTCATTGTTGCTAAGGAAAAGGGAACATGCTTGCTCTGGATAAGCCGTAATATTGAATCTAAAGGGAAACCACTTATTGATTTATAGTTTGATGAAAGTTTCACTGGTTAAATAAAAAACTGAATTAATAACTGGAGCTCCTAGATTTACGATCAGTTATCCAGTGATGTAAAGTTGTTTCTCAGTTATACTTAAGGTTAAAATACCTCTCACAGAAAAACAAGAATGTGCAGAGTTGACCTACTACATTTCCACAGACCCAGAAGTACCAAGCAAGGGGGGTAGCATCTTCATCCCACCTTGGGCTCTGTGCCATCCAGGTGACCCATTCTTCAGTTACCTGGCTCCTCCCTGCAGATGTCTGTCCTTTGTTTAGAACGCTATTTTCCATTGACCTGGTAGGGACACCAAACAGGAGGCCCTCCTGTGCTGTGAGTTTGATAAGAGGTAGCTTTTCCAGCCGTCCCAGGGGCGAATCCCTAAGATCGGATTGTTCGGGGCTCCCAGCGGCAGCTACAGCACAGCTGTGGGAGCCCCGTCCAGCTCCTGAGGCCTCTCCAGCCCTTGAGCCAGCCTCACCGTCCCCGCCACGCCCCCCCGGCACTGTCGGTGAACTTGTGGGGCCCATCACTAAGCCTGCACTTGCTGGGGAGGATTCCTCCTGACCAGGCTTTCCTCCTGCATGTTGAGTTACCTTCAGCTTTAAGAGGAAGAGTGGAGTAAATATTCTAAGCGATTGAATGCACTTTTACCTGTATAAAACGTGCTGTGACACAGTATATATAGCCCTTTCTATGAGCTCTGGATCTTGCTCACTCCCTCCATGTTGTAAATAGGGATTATATTATCTAAAACTGCTGTAGAAAATTCCTTTGTGGTGCAATACACTTTTTGATTAAAGCTCTTCAATCCAGATGCAGCTACAGTGGGTTTTACTTGATCTAGTCCAATGTGTCAGTATTTTTTTGACTTGTTAAATTTAGTACATTGTGTCTCCTATTTAATATTTGAAGGTCAACTTCAAGGGCCCTCGAACATTTGTCTCTCAGGAAGAACCTCCCTTGATTGGGTTTGGGTGAATAAACATGTAATTGAATGAAGCCAGAAGCCTAGTCTCACCTCCTGGGAATGGAGGGGGTTCTGCAGAGGAGTCGGGAGGATTGTGTCACTTTGGTCAGTGTCTCCGAGGCCCACGTGACTGGGAAGAACTTCAGGACTCTGAAGTGGTCCCTACCTTTAACAGAATGCAGATTGCGGTGACACGTGCTCAAATGGAAAGAAGAGCATCTTTGCTCTTCAGAGGCCCCTCTTAGTGGTTACAGGGAACAACACGTTCCTTTATGTCTTTAGGCTGATTGCTACCTGCTTCTGGCTTTAAAGAAAACTTCACAGTCACAGTCAGAGTGTTCCTGCCACACAGCCAAACCCAGCATCAGAGGATGGTGACCGTCCCAGCTGAGGCCCTCTCAGAGACTCCAAGTGCAGTCACACAAACTGAAGACTTTTAAAGCCTAGGTCAATTATTGAATGTTTGGCACTTTATTAAATAAGCTCCAAAATTACATACAAATCAAAGGAATAAAAACAATAAATAGTTATCCAGCAAAACATCTCTCCATAGCCGCCAGGCGCACTGGAGCCCAGGCCTGAGGTACTGCTGTGGCAAGACAGCTGGATTGCCACGCTCGCTCCCTGGGGACGGCTCAACAGGGAACACGTCTACCCACCCCCGCCACGTCGAGTTTCCAGAGCAGTCGACCTCTCATTCATTACCACCCCGTTCATCACCCATTTTTTTACATACATGAAACACACCGCAAAGTGTATACTAATAAGCCAAGAGCTTTATTGATGCAGCAGGCACTTTACAATGAACCCCAGAGAGCCCGCCTTCTCTGGGAGGCCAGGATGTCTGTACAAGCCCTCGGGGGGGTTCCACTTCAAAAACAAGCTCTCCCTCTACCACAGCCCTCGGCTCTGCACTTGCCCAAAGCATCCCCCCACTGGCAACAGGCAGCACACACGGACGCCTGACCGCCGCTGGCCAGCCGCTCCGGTGGACAGTCACAATGTCAGTTCTGCATTACTCGTGGACAAAGGCATAGACTATCAGATCCTGCAAAGGATTAAGGAAACAGACGATTTCTCCCTCCACCTTGAAAATAAAATAGACGTCAGCGGATGCGTGTCCTGAAATAGTTTAGTTGGGAGTTCCCAGGAAGATGGTCCATTGTCAATCCCTTCTTCACCGGCCTGTGCATCCAAAATTCTTGTCAAGGTAACATGAGTCTTTTTTAAACAGTCTTTCTTGCTGTAAGAACTCTTATAATGGAGCCTAGTCCTCCTACTGCTAATGCCTGTGGGGGCAGGAAAAGGAAACGGGTCAATTGATCCTGGTTGGTCAAGGGGAAGCCTGGCTTGCCAGGGGAGATAAGACCACGCACTCCCAGACCTAGCACCCATATGTCACAGACCCTCCGAAAAAGGACTCCTGCAAGAGCACAGTTAAGAGGTGGCAACAGAGCCCACCTAGGGACAGAGCCCTGTCCTGGAGCTGAGGGGCCAAAGAGCTCTTAGCTCTCGAGGCAGCACAACTCAGCTTGAAAACAACACCAAGCACGCACACAGCAGAGCCCCCAGGTTTCCCTTCTGACAAGCTCGTTTCCAGCCTGCCAGCCTGGGCAGCGAAACAGACACCAGCCCGTCACAGCTGCCTCCTGGAGCCCTCATGAGAAATGCCAGTAGGGCTGAGCACCAAGTCGCCCTAAAAGGACCCGAGGGCCTGGCCTCCACGCCATGCAGAGGCCTCGCTCAGTTCCCCCGTGCACCACAGCCACCCCCACCTACTAAGCCCAGGAGCCCTCCTTCGGGCCAAGCAGGCAGAGCACACCCAGCAGGGGACCACAGGCCCCAACCCCAGGCAGCAACGAGGCCGCCCAAGTGAGCCCTCAGGAAGAGGACCACTCCCTTAAAACTCAACGGGGCCTTTCGGCAAGGACGTTGTGTTGGCAGTAACCTGGTCTCCTTTAACGATGGGCGTGCTTCCTGCGCCTCTACAGGGTGGGGGGACATTGGCACACAGCAGGACACAAGCCTTGCTCTTATACCAACCCAAGCAAAGTGACTGTCAAGGTTTCTGCCACTGCCCTCTCTGGCCTGGTGAGGCTGAGGCCGGAGCAGGGAGCCCTTAGAGCAAGCTGGAGGGCTCAGCTGCATTCCTCGGACCCCGCTGGACTACCACCTCCACCAATGCACAGCAAGTAGTCTGAAGCCCCCAGTGCCGGCAAGCCTGCCTCCCTGCACCGGGGACGCCCCACGCCAAGTCACCTGCCCCCATGACCTGCCCGGGCTAAGTCAGCAGCTGAAGCAATGGCGAGGAGCAGAGACGGAGGGCCCTGCAGGCACTTTCTTGGGAGAGGTACGTGGTCAGGTGTCCCAGGCTGCTTTGAGCATGGCCCCTTATTCTCATATGCCTCCCAGACTGTCCTATGTCTGTTCTGGAAAATCTGGCACGCTGACCTGAAGCCTGGGCTTTGGGTGAGTCAGTGGGCTGCCTGCGTGGGCCACGTGTTCACATACCTTTTCATGCCACTGGAGTAACAGTGCGCTGCTATTCTCTGTGGGCTTCTCAAACCCTTTATAAATGTACTTCATTAGCAAGTCAACGCCGTTTCTGTCCAGTGACTGCACGGCCTGCTCAATTTCGCTGCTCTTAAAATTTGTAAGCACTTTCAGCACCACGCCCTGGGCTCGTTCCTACAGAGGAAAGAGAAAGGGAGTGAGGTCCAGAGCCACAGTCCAGGCACATCCACGTCCCCCACCACAGACACAGAAACTCCAAACCAAGCGGTCAGAGCTCATTAGAAACACTGCCCAAGTTCTAATTCATCTGGGATGGTTCAAAACATAAGTGGGCCACGGCTGGCCCCAAGGCGTAGTGGTTAAGTTCAGCACACTCCGTTTTGGCAGGCCACGTTCACAGGTTCAGATCCCAGGCGCAGACCTACACCACTCGTCAGCCATGCTGTGGTGGTGACCCGCATATAAAATAGAGGAAGACTGGCACAGATGTTAGCTCAGGGCCAATCTTCCTCAAGCAAAAGAAAAGAAGAAGATTGGCAATAGATGTTAGCTCAGGGCCAATCTTCCTCACACATACACACAAAATATGTATATACATGGGCTGAAATTCTTTTATCGATTTAAATTTCAAAGTATCCCTTATTGATACCAATAAGTTATTCCACTTATTTTGGGGGGAATAAGTGGTTTACTGGGGAGAAGCATCACTATCATGGAGATCTCTCTTTTAAAGAAACAAGTTTACTTGGCTGCAGTGTCCCTCTGCATTCATGCCCAGTAACAGAGGGGCCATTCCCCTCCACATTTGAGGGGTGCAGCCACTGATGACATCAGGATGCTGTGACAAGATGGCGAATCCCAGTTTCAGAGAGACCCCTTGCCCTGGACCAAATTTCAGACAGCGTGAGCAATGCACAACTGTATCTTCTCACCTAGTTTTTAAAAGGCAGGAAATTTTAAAAGCACTGAAAATCCTCATGCAAATAAGCTTCTTCAGTAGTCTATAGAAGCATAACCACGGAAGTCCCACGTGGCAGGCCAATTTATAGTTTTGCTAATCAGCAGGGGCTGGGCTGACTTCTCACCCAGGAGGCCCTAGGGAGGAAGAAGGTTCCCTTGGGGAGCCTAGACCACAGCCGCCAACAGCGCTGACGTCAGGAGCGCGGGGAGGCCTCCGTGGCAGCTGGCCCAGCGCTCACCCACTCCCTCGGTGGACGCTCACTGATGCTGAGATGAAAGAGACGCTGTCCAGCTAACCACAGCCCTGTCCCAACACCACCCAGCCAGCTGCAGCGCGACCCCCGACCCTTTACCTTCACAGCTTGATTCTTGGTGTTGACGGGAGAGTTCCGCAGGGCGGCATGAAATGCCCGAAGCATGTCCCCTGTGCATCACCACCAGTTAAGGAGGGCTAGGCTTGAGCACAGCCCCACTGTGCTTAGTGAACTCATTTCCAACACAGCCCAAGAAAGCGGAGTCAAACGGCATCTCCACACCACTGCGGTCCCCTGCGGCGTCCAGCGGCAGAGCCTGTCCAGAGGAGCCCGCAGCTTCTCCGAGCCCCGCGGACAGGGGAGGGCCCCTCTGCCAACCCTGCAAGCCCCTCCCTCCGCTGCCCCCTAAACCTTCCCCCTCAAAGCGAGTTTGGACACCCTCTGCCTCCCTCCCCGGAAGGCAGAAGCAGGGCAACTGCCCTCGCAGGGTAACCCGCAGCACAACCTGACGGAGCTCGCCGGCACCTGCTCGGTCCCGGGCACAGTATCTACCCCGCTGGATGGTCCACAGTCACCATGTGAGGGTCTCATTCTCAAAAGGGAAAAATGAAGGCATAAACAGAGGCCTCCCAACTCTGAATCCAAAGTATCCGTTAAACCATTAAGGAAGTTAAGAGGCGCTAAAACTCCTATCTTCCCAGATCTACCCAGTCACTGAGGTCCCCACTGCTCCCAGTGGGAGGTTCACTAATCTAAAGAACCTGTTACCGACAAAATGAGCCAATCCACCCCACCCCCCACCAAACCTCAGTTGCAATTCTGACACATTCTTTGCTGAGTTCTGAATACCCAGCACTCAAAAGAAAATTACAATCTGGGTTAGGTCCCCAAAGGTGACACCTATTTTAAACTGAGTTACATCAGCTGACTTTCATTTCCTCATCTGAAACATTGGCTTCAGCCAAAAAGCTTCAAAAATAGAACAAGGAATGGCTTCTGCCCAATCGGGTCTCAACGCCTGTTCATGCAGCGATACCCACGTGCGAACGGTCAGGGCCCGCGGAGCAGACCCGGGCTCTGTTCCCCGGCGTGGGCTCCATCTTCCCTGAGCTGGGCCACACCA